TGTAAAGCCAATCAAACGGTGGATTCATGGGTCAGAGCCAATAATCTATGACACTGTATTAATTCTCATGAATTATCACTAAACATATGAGCAACCGACAAAATTGGCGGAAGACTAAAGTAGCTAAAGTCGTAGGGACTGGACTTGGGATGTTCAAATTTCTGTGAAAACCTGATGGAGGAGCTGTCCATTCCGCTGCTGACCATCTCCTCCGTACGCGAATACACGCAGGCCACTGGCCGCCTTTTCGGGTTTGGAGGTGCTGGGGAAATGCTGGGAACATTGGAAAATGCTAGGAAAATGACGATATCAATTGGGATGTAAAATGATATGGGTCATCTTTGTGGGAGGATCCAAGTGATCAAAGTACATTTATCAACATATGCTGGATATACAGTAGATGTAACCAGCAAAACTGGTCCAGTAAACATATGGGGAAGTCATGGGATTTCATGGGGTTGATTCATGGGGATTTTTTTAGTAGATCCAAGTGAATATGATGGGAATAATATGATGGGAATATGATGTCTCAGTAGTTGGATGTATGGGCCAAATGGTCTCCAGAGACTTGCTGCCCTGGACCGTTGCCATGTTGCCACGGATATTTTATCAGAGGGTATGCAACCATTTTTGGTGCGTTCAGCCTTAAAAAGGTCAATTTGCCCCACTTTGTTTTCTGATAAACTCACTAAAGGGGATTTCACAAGCTAATCCCTTGGAATTTTACCTCCGGCAATCCCATTCAGTGAACGCTGTGTATTCCCATTCATTAAATCGCCATTGGCCCATCACCATGACCAACGGATAGTTATCAGATCATTTGTGACAATTTCTGATTCACATTTTATATTAACATAATATGATTAACATAATTTTATGATATTTTATGGAAATAAATAGTATGTTTTTTTTCCACAACTCATAAAAACTTGGTTTTTTAGTGATAAAATGGTGATTTCCCATTGGCATTACTGGTATTTAATAGTCATTTCCCCCGGTGAGTTTCCCAGGATCCCTTGGGGATGGTCTTCGCCATCCGCTACAAGGTGCGGTGAAAAATGGGGATGGTCGCTACCGGAAATGGTGATGTTGATAGTTGTTGATCAGCAAGTAGATCAGCAAGTTGCTGGCTGTTTTGGGGAAAAGTTTTTTTTTTCTCGGAGCACCCGAATATTCTTGTTCAAAGCCGTTGCATGTTGCATACATCAGAACCTGTTGCATTTTCTACATGCAAGTAGTCAAGAAACTGAAACAAAGAGAGGATATGGATCCAGTATACTAGTATGACTCAGTGACATCCCCATCAACGTCACTCATTTCAGAGGCTTAATAATCAGCGGCCATAGGCTGAAAAGAGTCAACGGCGGGCCGCACTTTTCCGGGCACCTTGGTGTGGAATTCTGCAGAGAAGGATCGCTCAATGAGAAACCCACTAAAGTGGAGCATATGGAGGCAGTAGTTCAACGATCTTTGTTGATCATCTTGGCTGGTGGATGTTGTAACATGTTGGAACTCAATCTGTGGTTGACCAACTGAAGGACAGTTTAGGCAATTTGATCCCAATGGTTGTTGCGGTGATATGCCCATTTCCCCTCGCTTATAGTAAACCTTCTAGTGTCAGTTGTTGGTTCAATACTCCGCAGAAATGCCCCTTGAGCTTCCCAGATGCGGATCTTTTGCCACATGTTTTTTCGTTGACCTTTTGCTGTTTAAGTGCTTCGTTTTCACAGGATATCCGGTGGCACTCACTTTCCGACTGACTCCTGCTCTTTGATGCGATCGTTCATATAGCAGCCCTCACACGACTTAACCATGAAATACCACGCATATATGGGAAACTATGAATCAAGAATGGCGAGAAAGCAGGGCACTTTTATGATGAATGGACTGCAGATGTTTGTTTGTAATCCCTAGTTTGAGAACGGACTGTGCAGCATGTGCAGGACCATGTCTTTTCCAGTCGGTGGTCAATTTTTCTTCATTTGGTTTCCACACATTGGACTTTACTTTGCGAACATCTGGGTATATCCACCTTGACGGGCCATTTTTTGGTAGGACACCATCCATGTTTGGAAATGTCAAACCTGGATTCGTACTCCCTAATTACCCTTGTTGACTACGTCATGTATCTCAAGAGTTACAACTTATACTCTGAAAAGACATGGGTAAATCATCAACGAATCATGGGGGATTCTATCTTGCCAACATGGAGGGATACTGGGCCATTCATAATTTCTTTGTCCCTCACATCGGATGATTCATGAATGTTGAAGCATTTTAGCAACATTCGACTACAATTGTTGCCCCCCAAAAAAATCATGGCTCCAAAGATGCAACATCAAATCTTATAAGATCTGCTACCCTGGCTTTAGTAGAAAAAAACATATAAATCATATCAAATCTGCTATGAAATCATATCAAATTAGACTCCTTTCCCATGACCTGCCATAGAAAAAATCCTCAGGCAGCCAGCAGTGAGAGTCGTTCTGCATGGGTGTCCAACCTCTGCGAGGCTCAGCCACCATCATTGCTCCAGTATATCACCAAGTTAAGATGCAGAAACGTGGAAAAATCCACTAAAATCATATAAAACATTATATAACATAATGGTAAACTGATGTAAATCGAACCTTTTCTGATTTTTTTTGGGGAGTTACCGGTTTATTTTTGCAGATCCCGTCGTGCTGTGTGGGTCCCACTGCAATTCCGCGGACGTAGCGAGGCAATCCGAGAAGCTCGCAGTGAGGTGTCAGGTTTCTGGGCATCAAAGGAGTCAGAGTCAGTCGTCATATGGACACCTTGGGAAGATGAGAGGCCTGATTTCGGTTTGGGTCAACATGTTTATCCCCTGATATCCCGAAAAACCGAGTTTGGACGACAGTCTGAAAAAATCAGCCCTGTTCGACAGATTGATAATGCAATGGTCTTTTCAATGGTCTTCAACCACATCAGTGTGGTGTCTGTTTAGGCCGTCAACAGCTGCGGTCTCACTGCTCTTGAGGTCGATAATGCTGAGGGTCACAATCTGTGGCCTAAAATGGTGCTCCATTTGCCAAGGCCAAACAAAGCAAGTTCGCTGCAACCTTGGCTTAACGCCAACGTGAGGCGAACAAGATTGAACCAATTGTGGAAAACTTCTAAGCAGAAGAATGTTGCGTTGATCCAGTTTCATGCTGGGCAAATGCAAGCACCTGCATAAAGTTCTTGCCGATGAATGTGATTTGTTCAAAGAAGTATGGCCCATGAGATCCCATGAGGTCCCTGAATGTAGGTCCATCATGGTCCATGAGCAAAATTTCACAGGGCTAAATCACATTGTCGGCGCTGTAAATGTATCGCTTCTGAAAAAAGCGCCGCACTGCCACGGCAATTCCATGGGTTGCTTGAGATTGGATGGAACTAGATGCACTGCCCTGGAAAGTTGGATGATGTGTCATTTTCCTGGGTACACCTGGATGAAAGGCGGGCTTCTCGTGCGTTTATTTTGCCATCAACAGGGGTTCATTTCAGATCCATGCCCAGTTTGCACCCAGTCTGAGATGTTGGATGTAAGGAATGAATCTCAATCAGCCAGCAGCTTCATCAAGAAGTTGTGCGCTTCCGGTCTGGCCCAAAGGGCAGTTGTAGTGCTGTGGAGATTGGTTCTGTTTGGTTCCTATGATTTGTGGTGCGGGAACACTGTTCGAGTAGTGTTTGTTTCCTATGTTTCAATATATTTCAATCCTTTGTTTCTGTAAATATATCATTGTGTAAGGGCATGTTGTATGATACATGTCAGAACAGTACAAAATAAGTAAAGTCACAAGTCAGGCCACAAACAAACCTGCATCAACGTTGTTCCTGCTGCCAGCACGGCTGCATGAACCAATGAAGTTCATTAAGCGTGACACACGCAGCCGAGATCGGCTGCTTTCTGTTTGACAAAATCTGGCTGGGATGGTTGGTTTCTGACAGGTCGGTTGGGGAAATGTGGCTGAACCGCTGTAAATCATATTCTATGATATAGGTAGGCTTGCTGGTTTTAGTCCCAGAATCTCCTGGTGTCTGAAACTGGTCATTTGTTTGCTTCGTGCTGGAACTTGGGTTTGCATGACGTTCCGAGCCATGTCATGTTTCCCATAGGGGTCACAGAGTAATGGGACCTTTGTTGTTGAAATGTCTAGTAGATTTTTGTACTTGGCACATATACGTACATAATTAAGCAATGGACAATCCCTCATTTCCAGGTTATTTCCATGTTATTTCAAGGTTTTTTATTTGGGTAGGGGGTCTGAGGCTGGGGTGTTTGTTGTTTGTGATTGTAGATTTGTTGTACAATGATCACATTCAAAGCTCCACTTTCTCGGTGACCTTCCAGGGAGCCACGTTTTTTGATGACCGGAGATATCCGGAGATCGGAGGGTATGTTCAGTGCTTCCTCAGCTACCTAGCCCAAGAAAAGCATCCAAAGTTGGCCGGGAAGGCGTGCAGGGCTCTTTTTGGACAGTCTCGGATGAAATATGCACGGTGATACTTGCAGCAACTTGCAAACGTGGTGAAACATGGGGGATCTACAGTAGCCAAAATGATCCAGAACATCATTATGATAATGTGGAATTCAATTCAATGCACACGATATTGAACTCAGACACATTTTTCGGCTGTTGAGCTGCCACCATCCATGGCCATCAGATCATCTGGTCCGACCACTGCCTTGACTTGATGTGAACCCATTTCCACCAAGGGGGTCCCGTTGCGGGTTCCCATGGTCGAACCAGGCACCTGCCAACATTCACGTGGCTCTTTCCTCAGGACTTGCGCCTTGGATGGCTATGGATGTCCGTGGTACAACGCACACTGACCACAAGAAGGTGGAATATACCATGTACTAGTATGATTCATGTCATGTGTATAAAAAGAATAAGAAAGCCAGTTCATGAGGTGTCATGAAGTGGTTGTGGCCAGAACACAAAGCACCAGCGCATTTTGTCCCGAAAACACCAGCATTGGCTCTGAGAAAAATGCCCCGCACCAAACATCATGCGAGAGAAGAAAGGGCCCTTGTGAAGCCCTTTCAGTGGCCTGGCGTGTGGATTTGTTGAGGGGATCATGCGTTTACCACATTCGAATGCCTTTTCTGTAGCATTTGTTCGTTTCTCAGTGGGGAGTTTTGATGGACACATTCCAAAATTGAAGGATTTCTTCATATTTATTCGTGTCATGAGGCGCCTTTCACCAGCCAAGAATTGGGGATAGAGACCATATATTAGTACTGCTGGTTATGACTAGGTTTCAGCTATACATATATATATATAAATATTATATATAAATATTATATATAATCATATATATAATAGAGACCATGTATTTTGGGTTTCAGCGATCTCTTACTGCGCACCTCTTTGGGATGATCTCCGCATCCAGGTGGCATTTGGAGCCGAACTACAATGGACTCAGCGAGGAGCAGGTCGTGAACCTAGGGCCCCAGGCCCATTCCATGCAGCACGAGCGTGTCCTCGCCACCAGCTCCACGCTGGCCGCGCGACTCGCGCGCTTCGGAAAGGCCGCGAAGCGGCAACGGGGCTGGGTGGCACACCAATTTCAAGGTCCACAAGGGGTGGTTGGAGTCACTTTCCATCGGTTTTTCATGGACCCAATATTCAGAAGCACCCCCCAAGGGCTTACCATAATTGGGTGCCTGGGATTTCAACCATCCAACTGGGGGTTATGGCACTGGGTTTATCACAGAAAAATAGTTTTAAGTCTTTTACGCTTGAGATGGATTCTGGTGGTTGAAACAATTCGAATGGTTTGACATATGTTTTGTTGTCCTCCCTACCCATAGGATCCATGTATGGTATAATTATATGCTAACATTGGGGGTATATTGATGGTAAATGTTACCATATATAGCATTCATGGATCCTATGGGTTAGGATGATAGACAATGCCGAATCCACGCCCATTGTTCAAAGCCCTTGAAATCGCTTGAATCAAGGGTGTTGAAACCACCAAGACAGGGAGTTAAGCAGTTGGACCGCCAGGTTGGACTACAAGAGGGCAACAAGATCAATGCTTATACTATGTCAATGGTTGCCTGTTGCATGTTAGAACTATTGTAACAAGAAAACAATGACAGGGGGGTTCTTTGTTCTTTTCAGTACTCGATGGGAGTTTTACCAGTCAGTTCGTTTGGTTATAAATTACAATTTATATCAAGTTTCATGCCATCAACTTGCTAATAACCTGGGTCAACAAGGTTGACACGTCCCCAATCCCTGGAGTTCCGTGTTTTGTCGATGTATCCACCCAAATCCCCGCGGATGTATTGCAAGGCAACCTACTTATAGTACAAATCAAACAAACACACTGCTGAGCCAATGGGGTGAAATCTAGGCTGTTTATTGCTGTAAATGTGTAAATCTTGATATCGTCAGAGATCACCATGGGCATCAGAGGCCCCCTCAGCCTCCTGTCCTGGACATATTTCGAGGTGGCTGAGAAGAACCCTGGCTATGCTGCTGATGACGTGTTTGTGGAAGAGGCTCAAGAAGGGTATCTTGGTGCTTCGTGAAGGGACGCCCGAGAAAGTCAAAAACAATTTGGGTACCCGTTTCGGATACACAAAAAGAGTGCACAGAGGTATCTTATTATTGGATCTGATACTCACTTTTCTTGACCTACGGGTCAAGTATTTTTGACATTTTTTCTTGGTTTATGACTAAGCTTGTGGTATCTTTTGGCGGTATGCACTTGGGTGAACTAAACGAAGTAAATCGATGGACCCCCTTGGCCCTGTTGTGATTCATAGATTTCAATGCTGGGTCGATGTATGCCGATCTTGTTGGCACCGATAATCGGTACAACTCCCACCCTCCAGTAAACTTGCATAGCTATGGAAAATCCCAATTTAAAGATGACTGAGCTAGCTATAAAATGGTGATTTTCGATTGCAAGATGTTGGTTTACCAGAGGGTATATCCAACTGAATGGCTGGTGCTCTCACCTGTCATCCCAGGTTGGTTCCGGGCCTGCCTGTAGTCCATGTCGACTCCAGTGAATACGCGGCCTATTTGGGGCCCAGTGACAATGGACTCCACAAAATCTGCATCCTGAAAAACGAGGAAACGCTCCGATGCCCCAGGGAGAAGATCCTTCCTTTTCCCGTAGATCCAGGGAAACCAGGTGACTGGGTCCCTTGGGACTTGAACTGAGTCAGGTGTTTTTCCGCTTCCACGATATTCCATGATCCAAAGGGTTAGATTCTGATGAAGCCTCACATCTTTGAGTTAGATTTTATGATTTTAAAATGATATCATATCATATCATATCCATGTGTTTTTCTTTGTTGATATTTTTTGGAGCCGCCCCTTAGTCAAATCAGTCAAATCTGAGGTCCTGTACGTTGATCCCCATCCTTCTCAGTTTCATTTTCTGGGTCGCTTGGGAATGTGCCTCCAGCCGTGTGCTGTCGACGATCCCAAGTTCATGGGTGTTGCAGAGCATGAGAAACCTGGCGCAAGCGCTTTTGATGGGTACCCAATAAACTGTCATCAAACATTGCTGGCTGGGAAAGCCATGGAAATCCAACAACTAAATAGAGGGTGCATAAATCATCGAAGTGAATGGGGTTTTTTACAACTAATGCCATGGCAAAGTTGTGTGATTGGAAGCCTCATCATACTGTGAGAATGAGGATCCCTAGAGTATGGCTCAAAATAGAGGAATGTGGTACAGTAAACCTGCCGTAGACAACTATAATTTAGGGTTTTTAAAGTTCCATCCATTTATGGTCTTGAGGATGGTTCATGGCATTGGGTTTAGCACATTGCCAACAAACACCATCAAACACCATCAGACACCATCAACCACCAAAGTTTTAGGGATCGCTATTTCTGAGCCATACAACTATAGGGGGATGTGTCAATACCTCTGAGACCATGGGAATTTGGAATGGGGGACGAAGATCATTTCTTCAGTGCGTACGTGTGCGTACGCGTACGTACGCTCTTTTGCTGTTGCAAATGTTACAACGAGGAGTGTGAATCGACCTATCCTATCCCCATCCCCAGTTATTGTTTTTGGCATCATCACTCGACTTTTCCATGGCAATGACCCAAATTGACCAACCAATATCTCTGATGTTCTTGAGATAATTTGGCCCCCCAAAACAAAGCAAAAACACCACTTGACCATTGATTTCTTACGTGGAAATCCACGGTCAAATGATTTGCTCAATGGATTATGTTTTCAAGGAAAATCTGAACCGTCTTAACCGGCATGGATTTTCCATGCATTTTGAAATGAAATAGGGGGTGGCTCAACACGAACTCGTTTCAGTTATTTTTGCCATGATGTTCCCATATTTTGCCCATGATTTTCCCAAGGTTTTCCCATATTTTTAGCCATCCATGGAATCCATGGATCTCAGGAAAGAGCTGTACCTGGTCCTCTTCCCCAACCAGCTGAACCCTGCTGAGGAAGGCGATTTGACAGCGTTGCCGTGCCATAAACTGGTCACTCTGCCATCCAAGCCCCGAGATGATGTGGGGCCATGGGAGTTTGCCATGTCCCAGGCGGGTACCCAAGATCTGAACGGGAAGTTCAGAGTGGGATTTCGCTTGGTGAAATTTGGTGAAAAGTGATTTGTTTGTGAAAATTCATGGGATAAATGACATAATTGGTCAATGGATTGGTTAATGGATGTTAATGGGATAGTGGAATCTGAACGGGATTTGACTTGACATCCAATCTTGGATTTACAGAAGGTAACACATGGATTATTAATGGATATGTGTTGATTATTGATGGAATAGTGGAATATGAATTGGATTATGACTTAACATTAACAGTCCTGGATTTGCTGATGATTTTTGGTTGTTTTTCCCAAATGATGTGAGGTAGGTTCAAAAAGCAATTGCACATGTGCCAAATATATGACCCCTGTCCAAAACATTTATTACCCATGGATTCTCATATGTCATCCATGTTAGTTTCCTATTTACGATTACACATGTCAGTAATCTTAAGACAGTAATATAGATTTATTCCATAGGCCCCATGAAACTTACCTCAGCCCGCTATGCGCCTCTGAGACTGCCATGCCAGCGGTTTTGCCGCAGATTTGCGACAGTGCTCAGATTGAGGAAGCCGACGAAGCGTCGGATGAGGACCGCGGGCGAGATTTCGTCTGGTGCTTCCAATTTAGGGGATGGGTCAGCAGTCAAACGTTAGCGTCGGGACTGGAGATTTGGCTTTTGGAAGTAAACCAGCCCATTTTGGGGTACATGGGGTACCTAAACCATTTTCAACTGTAAAATGACCCTTAACTTTAAACCAATTCATTGAAAAGGGGTTGGTCTGAAAATGGAATACACCCCGAAGTGGTCATTTCCAGACAGAGTGATAAACCATGATAAACCAATGGATTTGGGGGGTTTTCCCTGCTACATTTTCAGGTACCGAACCCAATGTGACATGGTTGGTGAGTTATACCCGCACTGCTATCTCACGATCATCCCCATGACAAAGGTTGCTTTGATTTGCCATTTTGGATCTTCAACTTGTTTCATACCTAAACCACGGATGCCTGTTCGCTCTATGCCAATGTTATCCTTATATATCCCCCCAAAAAACAAAAACTATAGATCTTAGTCTATATGGGTGTCTGAAAATGGTGCGTACCCTTAACATGGCAACTTAATGAAAGGAACATGATGATAGAAAAATAAATACTGCAATAGCCCTACAGATCTTAGTAAAATGGAGATATTCCAATCATTATCTCTATATTATCTTATATCCCCATGGAGATTCGCAGGAGATTTCGGCGGTCGCCATGGACAGTGAGGATGAATTGGGCTCCGGACCCAGGGCCTTCTTGAGCGCGGGGGAGCTGCGAGAGATTTTGCATGGTGAGAACTCGGAATCTTGATGGAATGGGCTATGGAATCGCTATATGGGATCACAGCCGGATATGGTATAATATATGGCTATGTTAAACATCATGGTTCGAAAAAATGGATACAGTATGCATGGATACATCTAATACGGATATAATATGAAGATAGAATGAAATGGCTATGGAATGGTATATTACTACTAATAGCTACATCCCAACAAAAAACATTTTAGTAATCAATCCCAATTAGTTATATCCAAATGAATGGCTTACCCTCCTGTGTCGTCAAACATGGCGTGCTGGAAAATGTTCCATTTAGTTCGAAGATTTTGACAGCTATAATCCTTCCGTAGCGTGGGAATTTCCAAGCAGGAGGGTATGGGATATGATATATGATATGGCTATACTATGGTTCGAATATGGATACAATATGTGGTTCATAGATGCTCATGTCTTCTGGGAGATGTTTTGGGAGATTAAATCTTGTACCTGGACACTCCATTGAGACCCATATGTGTTTGTATTTTTAACCATAGTTTAGTATATTTACTATTTCTACCAATTTCCATCGGTACTTTGCGTGTCTTGTTATGTATAATATGACAGATATGCACCCTGCAAATGATCTACCATTTTATGATTGTGAAGGTTGTTTCCGCGGTACCATGGTATATAGCCACTGATATGATCATCATTATTGGATGGGTCCTTAAGGAACTGCGGTTTTGCCTGCAAAATGGCCATGCAATCACGTGGAAAATTAGATCAACTTGACTTCAACTTGCAGTAACTTTCAACAAAAGTGGTGGTTCAACTCACACAAGGGGGAGGTAATCAAGATAAATGGAGCGGTTCATGTTTCCACGATATTAAACTTGAATGGTGATGAACTGTGGCTGATAGTGACATATAGTGACACCGGTTCATGGGACTCATATATTTGTGATCAGTGATTGAAATGGTGACTAGTGGTTAATGGCAAAATGGATCAACATGGTGACCTTACTTAAGCCATTTTTCAGTACCACTTAACATTAAATTAATACGTTTATGATAAGTTATGATATCATGTTTGGTAAATCTGTGCATTTCTCTTGTTTTGTGACCCTTGTGACCCTTCCCAAAAATCAACCATCCACTAAGGGTGAAGTCCTGGTCGAGATGCGCAGAGAGGTCCTGAGTCGCGTCACGTCTCGGATGAAACGACGTTTCAAGCCACGTGAAATGCTGCGGAGGGCCGTGAAGCAACGGAGGCAGAGCCTGGCTACGGATCAGTGACTGTTAAGCACCCCACAAAAAGTGGTGCTTGGAGGGTGGCCGGGGAGGGTGGCATGAAGGGTGGCGGGTAAATGTTGGATGGGGAAAGAATCTCATCTTTAAGGCGTTTGGATGTTTGACCCCCGTATCAACCACCTTTTCCATGTACCAGTAAATGTGTTTGGAACTTTTTACTTTCAGATGTGTGAAGCAACGCAGGCACAGTGAATCAACAGCAGATGCAGCCCCAGCCGCTCCCAATGATGAATCGACATTGGCAGAAGGGGGTCAAGCCAGCCCAAGCAAGCGATCAGTGGCAGCAGATGCAGCCCCAGCGAATGTGAACGACGGATCGACGCTGGTCAATGCAGCCGCAGCCGCTCATTTGGCTCCAGCCAGCCCAAGCAAGGGATCAGTGGCGGCAGCGCCAGACTCTTCCAACGATGTCTCAAAGGTGCCAGACATGGCTCTAACCACTCCAAACGATGGATCAATGGCGGCAGATGGATCGACGCTGGTAGATGCAGCCACAGCCGCTCATGTGTCTTCAGCCAGCCCAAGCAAGGGATCAGCGGCAGCAGCGCCAGACTCTTCCAACGATGCCTCAAAGGTGCCAGACATGGCTCTGACCAGTCCAAACGAGGGATCAATGGCGGCAGATGCAGCCCCAGCCAGTGTGAACGGATCGATGATGGTAGATGGCATAGCCAGTCCCAACGCGACATCCAGGTTGGCACATGTAGATAGATTTATTGTCACGAACCACTCCACTGGAAGGGAGTAAGACAGGCTTGAAATCAATGTGAAGCGCAGCCCGTCTTGGTGACTTCGAAATTCACTATTGAACAACATATCCAGATGTGTTCACCTTGCGCTCCAATGGTCCAATTGGCCCAAAGGTATTGAACCAAAGCCATACATATCCCACTCATTCAATCGATTGATTTAAGGGACATCTACAGTAGCCCCTGTTTTTGCAGGTCAAAACCATGTTTTTCCCCTAGATTTTCCTCCAAATCTACCCAGTAGTGATTCATATCTAAATACGTAATTTCTTAATATATCAATGATCTATCATTAGAATCATCCCCCTCATATTAAACACTCCATTTTATGGTCCCAAATAATTTCATTCCCTACATCCACGATTGTTTCTGGGGGTGCAACTAATAAATATTGGATGACACTATATAGCACCCACAATATAAATCTAATATAAATCTAAAAGCTGGAAAACATGAAATCGCTGGAGAAAACATCATCATATAATCTATACCATCCTGGAAACATGTTTTGGCATCTTTTTTGGGTTTGCTATTCCACAAAAAAGATAGAAATTGGTGACATCCTAATTAAAACAGGTGCATTTTGCTTTTCGGCATGTTTTTTGTGGATTACTATATTCCATGACATATCCCATAAGAATTATGCCTAATACATATCCCATAAGAATTATGCCTAATACTGTACATATCCCATAAATCCCATAATATCCAGTCATATATAGAAATGTCATTGAAATTAATCCCATCATATCCAATCATATATATATATATAGAAATGTCTATAATATCCACAAGAACCCCTTTGGAAGTCCCCAGATTTTTTCTCATCTCCCCAGAATTCGACTTCCCCAGGAGCTGAGTCATGGACCTGGCAGACTTCGGAGGCGCAGCTTGGGTTTTTGCAAGGGTCGTTTAACCTGTGTTTATGGGTTCAAATGTGATGAAAAAATCTGATTGCTAGTGTCCGACTTTGTATTTGGGTATGGGTCAAATGGTCAATATCTCATGCGAAAACAACTCAGTTTGCTGAAGTGGTGTGTTCACTTCATGAAATCCGCCTCCGCAAACCCCACAATTTTGTGGAAACATTTGTCGGACCCGTTTCCATTCGGGTGAGTTCATTATACTACATGTTATCTTATCAGGAGCCTCATCATATTGCATCAGGTTGCTAGCTGCCCTAGCAAAAAAATAACAAGTCCAGCTACAGAAATGCCTTTACACACAACATGACATGGCAATATGGCATATTGTGGTCACTTTGAATACAGAACAGACTATTGATACTATCAAAATGTGGAGATTCAGTAATCGGATCAATGACCGGTGGAGTATCGAGCTGGAGACGCTTCAAGAAAACATGAGAGAGTGTGAAATTTCAGCACACAACTGCAGTTCTTGGTTTCAAGATGTTTCAAGTTTCAAATATCTAAGTATTTGTTTCGTGTTCCATCTCTATTCCGGTAGATGATTCCTGCCACAAACAAAACTCGTGTTTTGGGGTGGCCTTTTTGCGCCCGGAGGAGATGCCAAGGGGCCCGTGCACCTTGACACACCTCCAACCATGCCGGGCACACCTACTGAGGACGAGATGGGGCTCCAGATGTTGAACAGTTGGTCCAAAAATGACCGGTCTCATAGTTAGCTAAGTTAGTTACTCCATAGGATTGATTAGGGGGAGTCTACAATTAGTTAAAGGGATCATATTTTTTTGCACCAACAATCATACCTGGCCACCCTGCGTTTGTCTTGCGCTTTCCACGCCATCTGCAGTTCCACTCCGTTCCACTCCGTTGCGCTTGGGGCTGCGCGTCTCTGCATGAGCCGTCCACGCCATGTGGACGCAGCGATCCCCGTGGGAAAGGATGATGAGATCCGGAGCTACTTCCAGGAACATGGATTCGTCGTGGCCCAGCAGACATTTGGGGACGGGTTGATGCAAACAGAAAGACCAAAATCTGCTATTTTGTGGGCCTTACAGATCCATACCCCTTTGCGAGTGATCATTCTGGATGTTTTTTTCAAGAGTTTCTGTGGTGCAGTGAATTTGGAATGGTCTCAAAGCCTCACCATGCCCCATTCAAAGACACTGCAAATGGCAGGATCCAGGGACATTTGCCTCCCAGACTCCTACTTCTCATACTTTTATAGTTTTGTGTCTTGCGGAAAGGAACTTTCACTGAATTCCGGGGATGTCCTCCAAGATTGGCATCGGCACATCTACAGCCAGATTGCAGTCAACCGTAAAAATCAAATGATTCAGTAGATAGAAACATGCCTATCCAGAAGTTGAACGAAAGTCCATCGGTGATTCGGTATATGTGGTATATGTGTTTTGTTGTTTGAGATTTGAGACAGGAAGGCATGACTTTGAGCACATCCAAGCATCCGCATAGACTGTATATGGGCCATATGGGGGGGTCCTAAAATCGGGGATCCCTAAGTCACTATGGTTGTTTCGATGCTAAGTCATGGTCTATGCAATGACTTGGATGATTCTGGGTACCCCATGAGTTAGGAAACCTCCATACGTTGAGATGTACACCAACTAATTCCTGGGGTCACCACTGTGTAGAATCTGACTGATCTTGTTGGTGACCTCAGCTGCAGGTAGTAGAAGGCGTCTTTAGCGATGAGGATATTGACATGTCCCTGGACCCTTGGGCTGCTGAATGATGCTTAGAAAGGAGAATCTCCTCACAAATCAAACAATCACCGATGAAGGTCGCAGAATCCAAATCATGTGCCATACATTCTGTGGCATGAATGTGGCTATTTGATGCGCCCTCTGGCCAAAACAACATGGAAATTTGGAAATGTCTCGGATTTCAGGCGCTTACACTATCATCACTTATCTACCAAAACTCCATTGGCACCAGTGGAGAACTAATCCACTACGATCCACTCGCATTTGTGATCCAATCCCATCCAGTCGCACCCACCTCGCTGATGAAATCCCTACGGTTGATGGTTGAGATCCTCATGTGAATGTTGCGCGAATCACGCAAAAAATCACCATGTTTTGATGCTTATTTTTCATAGTCTTGTTGGTTAAAGTAGATTAAAGTCATAATATCCCAGAAAATCACATGAAATCATGGTATCCCCATGGTATCCCCATGGAATCGTCGCTCAGGAGGAGCTCTGGAGCAGCCAGCGCCTCTTAGGCCGCTCTGTGGAGATCCGACGCGACGATCCAGGGACTTGGACGAAGGACGTGGCGCAGCCCTTGGACAAAGGGGTGATGAAGCATTTAATAGGGATTTAACATGATTTAACCATTTAACCAGATATCATGGGGATATAATAGCCATGAATAAGCGATATTACCCAACCTGGTTATGACATTCACAGTTCGCCATGGGATTTCGATGGCCCTAATCGAAATAGATGGTTTACCTATTAAACATGGTGATTTTCCATGGCGATGTTAGTCATAACCAGAGGGTAATAGGGATTTTACAGTACTTTACCATGAAATTAGGGATTTTATTAATCATGTAATTCATTTAGGCATGTTTACATGATTTACATGATTTAATAGTCCTTAGTTCCATAGGATGTGTCCATTCTATGTAAAAAAGCATGAATAATAGAGACATTACATGATTTTGCCATCCAAAATTGGGATGCTCATGGTATTTAACCAGGAAGAAAGATGTTTAAGATTATACCATCTACAGTATTAAATACCATGGCAACCATGGTATATACCATCCACTGTCTTGCTGGTTAGATACATGGATATTACATGTTTATAATCCATGGTATTGGGACGGTGGACTATATGGATTATCAATTATGGATATAATACATGGACTATAATCCATATAATCTCCATTATTACATGTTTATAACCACTATTATCAATTATATACATGGATTTTTTCATGGTGATGTTTTTCTTTAAGGACGATGGTCCGTGGCAGACATGCCAGGAGAGAGGCTGGCCCCAACAGGACGGTGGAAAGAATTTCCTGGAGTCATTGGACCCCTTCCAGGACCAGCATCGATGGATATCGATGGTTTGTTGTTGGGATATCCCATAGATAGGCTTTTTTTGGGAGATACCATGCCATGGGGATGATCACATGGATTTATGGGGAATATATGGAGAATATCAGGAGATGGAGAGAATCTGGTGGGTTTTGGGATGGGGTATCCCATGGGAACCGCATCTATCAGTAGATATGACACGACACTTCAGTATATATTGCAACACTCCATCCATTTTTGGTAGTTCTATAATGTTCTATACCATCCAGTACAACTCTATTTCAAAAGCAATGTCAACCCTACAATCAAAACTTTTCTCGATGCTTGCCCCGCAAGAAGTGACAGTCTACTACCCTCCCCAACTTGAAGAGCCGGGGCTTGATCCTGGTATTCCACCCTCCATCCATGGCCATCAAACAAGTGGTATAATGGTGCTCTAGTCTCAATTGGAATTAGGTGTTTTCCTCTGAATTATCGAACAACCCCAAGATTATGGAATAATTATAACCTATAGTTGTATAGGATATTCCCTCATTAGTTAAATAGCTTAAGTAGCTTAAATAGCCATTTACAATTGCTGGCTCTCCTCCAGGATTCGAAGTGTTGGCACCTGGCGCAAAATCCAAACGTGGCGCACATCGTGGCAATGCTGTGGCGCGATGCCTTGCAAGTCACGGAACCGGAGGATTCCAAGGCAATGGCAGGGCGAGGTGGTGGTTCAGTGAGACGTTCAGCAAGGATTCTAGATCTTCAGAGGAGATATCACGATAGAGGCAGATGTCCGAAAGACCAAACAGTTGGTCAAAATACGTTCAGATAGCTTGGATAAGAAACACTATTGATATAATTCTCTAAGTATCTACATATCATATTATATATAATATATACGTAGCAAAACATCATTATAGATATACAATTATATATATATATATACATGACTTATCAATTAAGTAGTCCAATAAATATTGTGATAGGTGGCATTTTCAATGGTTTTCTGAGATCCTTTTTTTCAATGCCATCCCAAGTGCAGGTGGTTTTCCTGGGGCGGACGCCACGCTGGGGCGTGATGCGACCCAGCGGAGTGAATCCTGCATGGCGGACGTTGGAGAATTGGCTTCACTGGGTTTCTGAGCAGAAAAAAGTCTTGGGGGGATGCGTCAAGATGAGGGAAGTGTTGTTGATTTTGAATATCAGATATCAGATGATATCAGATGTTTAGATCATTTTAGATCATTAAAATTCTTAATTACATGTTCAACATGATTACGGGACAAATATACTGAATATATCTGAAAACATCTGAAACAATGATTTCCTGGGACCTACGCTCAGAATTCTTGACCCTTAGCCATTTTCTGGAGCCTGTCGAGTTATGATCCGGGGACTCCGGGACTGAGCTGGGTAGCCAGCTGTGTCGTACCCGGACACTCCATGGAATCCCATAGAAAATCATAGAAATGATAGGACATGTCTATTTTACCCCATGATCATTGGAATCCCATTTTTATTAGATTTTATTAGGCACTCATATGTCTTGTTGTTTACTAAATTTCCATGGCTACTTTGAGTGCCTTGATTGTTAAAAAAAGAACTGTAGCAGTACGAAAGATCCCATTCCTCTGGCAGGATCAAAATCCTTGGGCGCAGCCTGGTTTCGGCACCTTGGAGCGGCTCATGGCCGAAAATATGACAGGCTGACAGGCGATGTATAACTGACACTGACATACCTCTATTTATAGTGGATTTACCCATTAAAAATAGTGATTTTGCGTAGCTATGTTAGTTTACCAGAGGGTAACTGACATACCTCTATGTTTTTTATTTTTTCTGCTGGATGTAGTTGTTTTATGATGTTTTTTGGTGGTTTTCAGGCATTAAAAAACAAAAAAAAAGCCTTGTCCATTCCTGTTTGGCCCCGACGCTCCAATATGTAGAGTTGCGATTCATTTGTCTTTATTCGACACTTGGATACCTTTGAATATTTTCTTGGGGCACATGTTGGTATAAAGAGTTTGTCATCCATGGAGATCAACATCTTTGGAAGCACCCTTCGCTGAGGATGGATCCAAGCTTTCGCTTGCATCACCGCGCAGACCCCAAGCAGCGGGGGTCTCCTTTGCGTGCCAGGCGCGTCGCGTTTTGGAGCGACCTGCGATGGGTCGAAACCTTGGTTTGAGGTGGGATTGGGAATTCCAACCTTGGGGTACTATGAAAATATGATAAGGATTGATAAGGTATGATGAGCCAACTTTGAAGTTGTCAGAATCCTTGGGAGGTTTTCGGAAGAATGGTAATGTCTTCCATGGTTTTTGCCCACAAGTTGACTTTGTGGATGGATGCAGCCGGGCTCCATCATCAGGCTTCCACAAGCGCTGGAAAAGCTGGGGCGAAGCTCATCCAGAAGGGAGCGTGGAGGTGGAGCTTTGGGATAGGTAGACAGCTGGGGGTGTAGGTCTAGGTGAAATGTGCAAAGTTTAGTACTAATTATAATCACTAATCCTCCTTTTCTTGATAGTTGTAAGTTTTATCAACTTGTCTCATCCCAACATGAAAATTCATATTCGGTACAGTTTCATTTGCCCTTGGTGAAAAGCCACAGATCTCAATGGCCAGGTGGGTGGCAAGACCATCACCCGCGACTTCGGGCAGGGCAATCCCTTCCCAGTGCCATTGGACGATCCGCTGCATGGTGAAGTGGTCCGCGTTTGTGCGCCGCGGGGGTCGCTGATTTTGTGGGACAGTCGTGCCTGGGCAGAAGGGATGACTTGACCGGGACAAGTTTCTGACCGTCTTTTTCCCCACCTGCCAGGTGAGGGTCTATGTCTCTAGACTTTAACAAAGGTGTACCTCACTCCTCCACTTCCTCACTTCCTCCACTTCCTCACTCCTTGCATCCTCCCTTCGTCCTTGCGCTAGCCTTGTCTGCCAGCTTGTCGTCGGGTGTCAACGGACTTGGATTTGGAACGTCATGGCGAGGTCCGCGGCAGTCTGGGCGCGCATGGACCCGAGCAGAGACCAGAAAGTAGAATGCCGATTCGATTTATCCTAGATAGAATGCCAGAATTTATATATGCCAGATAGAATGTCAGAATTTATTCCACATAGAAGGTCAGAATATATGCCAAAAAGGATACCAGATAGAACGTCAGAATAGTTGGCCAGAAAAAAAATGTCAGAATTTATGCCAGATAGGATGTCAGATTTTATGCCATATATTTATATCAGCTTCCAGATGATATGCCAGAATCTATGTCAGAATAATTTGTCATGGTGGGGATCACTTGAAGTAATTTTCTTGGAACCCGTTTTTTGACAGGAATTGTACGGTCAATTTTTGAACCATAAAAGCAACTCGGCATGCTTTGAGATACTTGTGACCGTGATAGAATCTACACCTGGCCCTTCAAGAACCGCAATGGAAAGCCCAATCTCCCCCAGAGGAAGCGTTGGAGACATGTCTAGACTCTAGTCTAGACTAGAATGGGAGAGTGACTAAAAACGTCTACCCATTTAAACAGGAGGTAAATTCAGAGAATATTCTATCCACTGATGATACAAACCATTGATGTTGGGCAATACGAACTATTTACAGTACTCAAAGCCGTTGGAGCATCAACAACTTGACTCCTGCGAGGTTTGCCACATCAGAACTATCCCAACAGCAGCGAGGATGAATGGCGGGTAGTCTTGTACATGAATTTCTGGCCCTATAATGAGCAAAGCTACAAGGAGCAGAGCAGAGGGAGCTTCGCTGTACAGCTGCGTATGTCCTCCGAGATGTTTTGGCGCCCAACACGACCTCTGAATACTGGAGGCATCTCATGTTTGGATTGTATTGGGCACATCAGAGTAGCATTGAAGATATTTTATGGTGGCGCGTCAAAAGCAAATATTGCGGACAAGCACAGTTTTAAATTGGTTCATTGCTATGCCACCAACCTCACAACTGACGCCAGCTGCCACACTACACCAGCAATTCGGACCTCACCTGCTGTTAGTTGTAGCTGGCTGATTTCACCCTCAAAGATGATCTAGATGTATCTAGCACGTACCACCTAAGTACGGATAAGATCGGATAAGACTATACACAAAGTAATGGTAATATATGGTAATTGTAGTAGGAACATAGCACAACATAGCACTGTAAATGTATCACTGGAAATGATCAACAACAGTTGTAGATAGGGCTATGATTTCACCCAAATTGACGCCTCCAAGATGACCCCATGTCGAAGAAACCAAAATACTTCGGAGATGACCAGCCTTTTCATGGGTTAAAAGCACGGAGTGTCAACCTGGAGAACAAAAAACAATTAATTTTCCCATTTCATGGTAAAGCCAACAAAGTCTCAACAAGTTAAGACACCAAAATCACCTGGAATTTCCCCCACGCATCATTCATGGCCAAAACCGGAAGTTTCCAGTCGTCATGGGGGTACCTGGTACTCCGAAATCATCCAGTCGTCATGGATGACCATGTATTGAAACCCATGGTGACTTGGGGAATCCCAACCCCAAATATGTCATGTTGGGCCCCAAATTGACTGGTCTCCCAGATCCTCATAGCATTATGAACCAATGAGTAATTTTCATGAGTTGTACCATGTGGAACCCATCTTCTGGCGGTTATAAATCACCCATGAAATCACCATTTATAGATGCTCTTCCCTCTGAAATCTCCATTTGCTGCGGGCATTTCTCCGGAAAACCTATGGATTTCCCACCTGCAAAACTCCCCAGGAGCGCCGTGCGCTGCTCCTGAAGCGCTTCCACGTCCTGCAGGCGCTGGGCGCTGACCGCGTCGACGCCACGTGGCCGCGGCGGCTGACGCCCTTGGGCCGCGCCGTGACGGCGGCGCCGGAGACGGTGGGGACGGTGGAGGAGAGCTGCAAGGAGGTGGGGATGGGGATGGGATCCAAGGCCCTAAGATGTCCTAAGGTCATTAACTATGAGTTATACATGTTAATACTATGGTTAATGATGATTAAGAATGATTCATAATGATTCATTTTGATATGATTAATGATGTGAATGGATTGAATGGATTGTTTAACTCATGGGTATCGAATGGATGAAACTAATGGTGATTTCATGAGTATTTATCCTGTCAAGTAGAGCGAATGGGTATTTCGTCATCCCAAGGTCCTAAGGGTCCTAAGTCATGTCGGGTATCTCATAATATGTGACTCTTAGTGATAATATGTACTATATGTGCCTATCAGAAAAAGGATTGTGTTTAACTATCTAACGATATCGGTAATTAAGAATCACCCATAATATCTGACTATAGACCTTCTGTTTGTACCCTTAAAGATGCTGTTTTAGCTCATAATCTGATGACTTGTACGATTTGTTTTGGGTATTTGAAGGGTCTAGGTATACATGACAATTGATAATTAAGAACCATGCGGAATATGGATTTAGACTGATATTTTGAACTGCTGCCATGATTTTGCGGGGAGAGCTATAACACTTCAATTGGGGATGGTTGAGATTGGATGTAGTAAAGCATGCTCTTCGAATTGAGGATGGGTGGGACAGGGCAGAGATTTGGGGCAAAGCAACTCATTTTCATTTATTTTAACGGAAAACTCAGTGGGGTGAATGCTGATTCTGATGATGCTGATGATGCTGATGATGCTGATGATGCTGCTGCTGCTGATGATGACGATGATGATGATGACGACGATGACGATGATGATGATGATGATGATGACGACGATGACGATGACGACGACAATGATCATTTTTCTTACCCCTGTTGCTAATCAGTTCATCAGGCCATTCGTTTGACTTTCGCCGCTGGAGAAGCAGAGTTGCGGGGAGAATTGGAAGAATCGACCCGGCTGATGCGGTGTGCCATCAAGCGCCTTGGTTGAAGATGGGTCAAGTTCTACAAAAGCTAGGGAAAAAAACGCACAGACATTGGTCAGTTTGGTTTACTACAACCCATAGGATCCATGTATGCTATATATGGTAACATTTACCATCAATATACCCCCAATGTTAGCATATATACCAGCACCATGGATCCTATGGGCAAGAATTAGGAATCACAAATCTGTGTCAGGTTTCAAGTATCAAACTAAAAAAGAATTGGATGACTGTGGTGCCCCATCCCCCCATTTCCATCGCAATGCCAACATGTTTTGTCTATTTGTCCCGGGTAGGTTGAAGGGTACAGGGACTGATGGAAGTGGGGAAAACTTTGTTGGTTGGTTGGGTTTGTTACATGGACTCCCTAGAAGAAACCGCGAGTTTTACCGGGGTGTGCTATAAATTATCCTTGAAAAATCCTAATTAGTCCAAGGGCAAGATTTTGGCAAAACTCGCAACAGGAGTGGCTAGGTAATATTGTGTTTTTGGATTCTTGGAAGTGGCTTTTGCGATGTTTGGGCTGGGCGTGGGGCAGATACCTGCAGGTTGTGGCCCGAAGTGGAAACATGGTACGATGCTATCTTCATTTGAGCAGATGTGTGATGAGCTGAGTTTGCCTCAACGGCTGGCAGAGACACCAGTCGATGGTGCAGCTTGAGCCCGCGAGATCCTTACCGAGCCTTTGTACAGATGAGCCATGTACAGCTGCATTGGGCAAAACAGGAAAATGTCTTTGGCGGGATTGAATTGTCTCAGACACATTGGTTCCCGCCCTCAAAAATTTCGGGGTTCCTGTCCTCCAACCTTGGGTCAAGATGCCTTACCCACCAAGACCCATAGATGTTGGTGATCTTCGACCAACCCTTGGAATGCAGCCCGTCAAGGAGCTTCACGATGGCCTGACGGTTGGTGAGTTGGCGCGGCAGATCAGCGCCTTTGCTCCATGTTTTGTTGAAAATTGGGTCCTTTACACGTATATAATAATATAACCCAAATGAGAGGTTCAAAGCTCCTACCTTCTACTGCAGTTACTGACGGGGTAAGGTACTGATTATGAGTCATACCCCCATGTATATACAATTACAATATATTCTTTAGGCAGTGTCTCTGTATCTCTCTCAATCTATACATACTACATAAATATTGTACATGAACGATGCTGGATGAGGCTCTAACTGCTGTGACTTATGTCAACCCGAGTTACAGAACTCTCAGATAGGCCGACAGACCATGGCTTTTCCAGGACCGTCATCCAATGGCCCTTAGTGAAACCGAAAATCATCCTGAAGTCGTTGGAGTTGTGAAGGATTTGGGAAGATCAGCCTTTCATGCCTTTTCATACTCAAACCATCTTAAAACAAACGCCATCCAACTATTTTAGAAAAAAATGCAATAGATAATGATATCACTAGATAATATCAGTATATATCAGTATGGTAAACCCAATGCCATAGTCACCATCCCCAAGTCATCACCATATGGCTGGGATTTGAACCATCCCCAGTCGTGGTATTTCTTGCTTTCTTGCGCAGGTGCCCTGCCACCCTGTGCCATACAGTTGAGCCTTCGCGAAGCTGCACAGATGTTGTTGTCTTCAGGTGGGCTTTGGGCGGATCAAAAAAGCCTGCGGGACTCATCCAATGATTTTCACGTTTTTATGGGGGGATGAAATGGCTGATTGATCGGAAAAGATTGAATAGGTTCCATTGGACAATGTTTTTTTTGGGATTGTTTGCAAAATACAAAATACTCTATAGTTTATTGGAGAACAACCAACACTGATATGAGCAACATAGAGATGGGAGTCCGGGAGGTTCTCAAATTAACATGGGGGACCCCAAGGGTACAATCCAAAGTGAAAACCCATTGGTGATATGATGACCATGATCCCCCAAGTCGTAGCATCCAAAAGATTGGAAGTCTGCAGGACTGAGGTGGATCATCTTGTGTTTCCTAAACGAGGAGTTTGACATATATAATTGATCACCAGTGATGATCATACGATGAGTCTTGTTGACTGATCAATTCATTGTTTTCTAATATGGATAACATTCATATTGTGCATATATACACGCATATATAATTATATATATGGTATATATTATATAGTTATATATTAACTATGCAATGTATACACAAAGATTTTTTGGGCATCCATAAGAAACCAGGTCAGGCAGCTGGATGCGTGGTGGACGAGCAACTTGGCCCGATGCATGAGTTGGACATGAAATCCGGAGATGGAAGGATATGGAAATCTAATGGAACTGAATGGTATATATATAATTATAGTTATATATATATTATATATCTATATTTAATATGTATCTATTTACATTTAACATCATTTAACTATATAGTTATATTCATTTACATTATCGTTTATAATCATAAATGTAACAAACTATAGTTCTTTGATGTTATTTGGGTGTTCCTGAAAATACGGGATTTAACCCCCAAAATAGATTGAGGGGTTTCGACTTAAATTGTCAGACAGATTAACCAATATCACTTTCGAGACTATTTAACCCAAAAAAACAGATTGTTCAACGCAGATGACCACTTTTGGTCGATAAAGGTACTCCGTCTTGGATCGCCAGGTGCAAATCAGCACCATCAATATCTATCTTATTTTGCCATCCAAGTATACAAAGCAACATTTTTTTCCCCAATGACATGTAATGGCTACAGTGAGGAGCGGCTCGCCAGTGGGTGTCATCACAGAAGATGACATTCTGCACAGCTTCTCGGATCTCTCGCTACAGGGGATGTCTGACAATGGAGAGATCATTAGGATATTATACATTGAATGAATTCCAGTGAGTGATCTGGACTGAACTTTGCTTGTGAATTTTGCGCCATTCAAAGAAGGAGATGTTAATTCTATTCCCACTGATGTTCGACGTATCCGCATTTGCACTCATCAATGTGCCCATCAGATCTTCGCTCGACATGGGAATTTCCTTTACTGCGAAGATTTCTGGTGGGTTTAGTGGAGATACATTCTTTTTGGTTCATCCTCCCTTTGTGGTCTTGGTTAGGTACTTGAACATGGGATGTGCATCCGAAGTACTAATTCTTGGTGAACTTGGGATGGGGAACTGCAGGAACCCAATTTTCTGACTGGGATTCGTGTGGGTTATGAGGTGAGGACGTGCCATGTAACAGACACACAGCTTCAAACAATCGACAATCACAATAGTAATAGTTAAGATTACTTTGATGTATCTCTCTAGCTAATAGCTGGGTAAGTGGATGCTGAATCTCTGCAAAACATTGTGTGTATTATATGTATAATATGTATAATATATATAATATGTATAATATGTATAATATATATTTAAAATATGTATAATATGTATAATATATATATATACAATATGTAGAATATGTACAATATATATATATATAATGTATAATATGTATAATATATATATAATATGTATAATATGTATAATATATATATAATATGTATAATATGTATAATATATATAATATGTATAATATGTATAATATATATATATATCTATCTTCCATTATTAACATAATAGTTGTTGATCCATACTTGGTGGTCCCCAAGACTCGTGGCTTAGTTCAGGTTACGTGCAGGGCGCTCCTTGGGACACCACCGTGGGCGAATGGTTGCGAGGAGGTCAGCCATCGATGGCAGAACCAGGGGCTCTCTAAACATGGCGGATTCAGCCCAAAATGTCGCAACAATTGGTGGGTTTTACCCAAAGATTCTATCAAAATGTGGGATATATGCATATATATGCAAATTTGGCCACTTTGAATGGGGAACATGTCATAAAATGACCCCAAGATAGCTTGAATGGGACAAATGTGGATTAGCGCCCGATTTTCGGACAAACCAAAGTGAAAAGATGAAGCAAGAAAAGCTAGAGATCTGCCACATCATGAGAAGATGAAGGAAAACACCCAAGGCGAAATGGAGATTTCAGCTGCACAAATTGGTGCCGGAACATGATTTTTCACCCTTCAGCTGCTGCTTTTCCCAGGCGGTGGCGTGCTCTTCGATGAGACGTCGGGAGCAGCATCCCCCACAGCACGGGTAGCATCAGAGCAGCCGGGTGACCTCAGATCCACAAATCCGTGGGTGGCTGAAAAATTGGGTGACAACTACTGTGGATGGTTGCGAAATCCTGCACCAGTTGATAATGGTTCATCCATGTTTATCCCATTATTTATAGTATATAGATGTATATAGGGTTTCAACATGTTTCAACCATCCGTTTGGTGGTGCAGGATTTCACAACCATCCACTGTAATTAGGACCTAAGATGAAGAACCCTCCAAAAATTGAGATGATTTGATTCGGTATCATTCAGTCAGGAATACGGTTCAAGATGTTTTGGGGATGATTTGTCTGATTAGCCAATGTTTTTGTTGCCAAGAATCGAAGAATTCCCATATATCCTGGTGCATAGCCCTGGTGCATAGCTCAGACATACAGGTTGCATCGACCCAGCTCCTTAGGCCCCTGCATGCGGCGCTGCCGGCATTGGTCTCGGGCCAACGCATCGTACCCAGTTTGGGACGTAGCAGCGGACGCAGCGCTTTGTTGGTGGAGAGGCAAGGGAACTATGCGGGCGGCGTGTTCCTGAGCTGGTTTAATGACCAGTGGAGCATGGAGGACTTAAGGTTAATAATCATATTCCCATGGTTTATAATTAATGGTTAAATAATGGTATCCCATGATTAATAGTGGTTAATAATGGTTCATCCAAGGATTCAAAATGATGGTTCGCTAAGTTACTACGAAGACGTGAGCTGTCGTGCTGTGGGTTCCAGGGTCATAAAGTTCCTGCATTGCACGGACTTTGGCCTCCAGCTGCTTTTGCATTCCCAAATCCTCATTTGCCAAGTCAGGCCTTTTGATCCCAAGATCAAGTCTGTTGGCTGAGGTTGTCAGCCCTGGACGTTGTTCAAGCGCTTGCACAGCGTGCCAGCGAAAATTTGATGCTCGTATCTTTTTTCTGTTCAGGTATAGTTGAAAAAAACATAGTCGTCCTTGCTATGTGATTTTTAGGCCATTCGCAATCTTTGAAAATGGACCCATCCCAGATGGTTTCAAAATTGTGAATCATCCATGTTTTGTGGAATTCTTTCGATACATTGAACGATCGCATGCTGTTTTTTTAATGTGTCTGGCCTTGGTTCGCGGGCCCACTTGAACAACACTGTAGGAACTGGCCGAAGTCAAATCAGGCGTCTGCAGTAGATGTCCTACAGAAACAGCCAACCCCAGTGACACTCAGAGATAGGATGCGTAAACCCTCTGTAATCCACGTGTGATGTTAGATCATATACCTTTTGATAATGGTGATGATTTGGCGATTGGCAGTACAGCAATGATTCAAGTAAAGAATGATAGGGCCCTCACCACGACTTCACTATCTACGATGGTGGGTATGGAGAATCATAGTTGTTTGCAGGTTGCAGAATGCCATTCATGAGCACTATGGGTTTCTAACCCTATTAAAAGAAATATATACGCTTGAACTCCATTTATCTCATTTACCGCAGATATTACTCAACATCATCTTATAGTTGGTATCATGTTAGTTGTCAAAAACTATAGTTCAAACTAGCTACCCTCTGGTAATTTAACGTAGCTATTGAAAATGACCATTTATAGTGGATTTTCCCATTAAGAATGGTGGTTTTCCATAGCTATGTTAAATTACCAGAGGGTATACCCTCCAAATACCCCAAGAAATGGTCAAAGGAAAGTTCCACGCCTGCCCAGGATGGGTGCATTGGCAGGGACTGTGGCAGATGTCATGGAGCCAATCGATCAGGCCTGGTGGTCCCAAGCACCAACACAAGGTAGCTGGATAAATTGCACTAACTCACTAACCTGAAATGTTCGGCCACTTTGAGATAGTTACCCCAATCCATCCCAATCCTAACCATCATTCCAGTGATGTCGCGATGTGAGGTCGCAACCACCCACTGTATCCTATTATTTTGATATATTTTGGTTTATTCTTTTAGCAATCAAAAAAGAACATGAAGAATTGGAAGCCGGAAATGATGAGGTGTTTGTGTCAATCTTTCTTGGTTATGTCTTTGAATTTCCAGGATTGGATGATCAGCTCTTGTGTCTGAAAATGGGGAAAGGGTCCGATCATCAGAATGTGTGCTCGCTCGAAAACGGACCCATGACATGGTGGGCGACGGGTTGTTGGCAAGGTGAGACGCACCCACCTGCATCTTACAGTATCTTACAATGCGACGACGTCATCCGTGTAGTTTTCACTTTGAGGACATGTTTGAACAAAGATTGAAGATGTTCCATGTGTTCCATGTGACCATCAGAACACGGTGCGTTCGTTCCGGTTGCGATCGTTGCGTTCCCCAAAGCATGTCGCCGCAGGCGCCGAGGCTCCAAGTGGGCTTCACCATGAGGGATTTGCTGAAGGACTGGGGAAACCAGCTGGAGTATGTGGTGATATGTGGTGCCCCCTCCTAGTTAGTGTAGTTGGTTTATGAAGCCTACACGGAGAATGCCCCCTGGATAAATAACTTGACTTATATCATGGGTTAATAATATGTTATAACCAGGGCTATCTCATGTTATAAATTCCATAACTTATGTTAAACTTATGTTTGAGCTATGGATTTAAAAGGTAACTTGTATCGCTTAAGTTGAAAGATACTAAACAAGTACAAACAAATTAGCAAAGTCAGTTAACTTTTTATTTTTCGATTCTTGAAAGTTAGCTCGCTTTGTTTTTTTCATGTTGATTTCCATATTTTTTGGCTGCTTTTGGCTAAGACGCATGGGTTTTGCCATTGCGCAATTTTGGAGCCACCGCCTGTTTCTTTGGCTTTTTTGCCAGGGCACAGAGGGTGCCGCCTCAAGCTGCTGCTGAGCAGTCTAGTGCCCAAATGCAAGCAAGAGTGGACACGTTTCCCTTTTGTATCTGACTCAAGTTTTTTGGGAGACATTGAGAAACTCTGAAAGACAGCTTCGTAAAGTGGAAGCAGTATTTGACTAGCCTTGGTCTCCGTCATCCATCAGAGCGTACCATAGCGACGGAACGGGGTTGCTGGCACCACAACTGAACCCGAACCGCACAGTCCAGCTGAAAAAACGCTTCGGCGGGTGAACGGACTAGATAGCAACGCAAAAAACACAAAACGCGTATGTATATTGCTGTAATCGAAGGGAAAAGCTAAAGACGCGTATGTGTTTTCTATCCATGACCCCAGAACGCGTATGTGTTTTCATACCTCTCCTTGCGTTTTTGTTTAATATGAAACTGTATTAGAGATGTGTGTTTTTCCCCACCTGCCAGGTGAGGGTTGTTAGATTTTATGTCAGTTGCCTCCTCCTGCTCCTCCGCCTCCTCCTGCCTCGTCCTCCTCTCCTCCTCCTCCTCGTCCTCCTTGTCATCCTTGTCGTCCTTGTCGTCCTCGTCGTCCTCGTCGTCCTCGTTGTCCTCGTTGTCCTTGCTCAACTGCGACCCGCGATCCACAGTGTTCTCTGCCGGACCTCAACCACGACCACCCACGCCCAGTGTTCCCTGCCGGACCTCAACCACGACCATCCACGCCCAGTGTTCCCTGCCGGACCTCAACCACGACCATCCACGCCCAGTGTTCCCTGCCGGACCTCAACCACGACCATCCACGCCCAGTGTTCCCTGCCGGACCTCAACCGCGAGTATCCCCGCCCAGTGTTCCCTGCCGGACCTCAACCACGACCATCCACGCCCAGTGTTCCCTGCCGGACCTCAACCGCGAGTATCCACGCCAAAAGATATGCCACATAGAGTGCCAGAAGATATGCCAGATAGAATGTTAGAAGATATGCCAGATAGAATGCCAGAAGGTATGCCAGATAGAATGCCAGATAGAATGTCAGCTAGAATGCCAGAAGATATGCCAGATAAAGTGCCAGAATGTTTGCCAGATAGAATGCCAGCAGATTTGCCAGATAATATGCCAGAAGATATGCTAGATAGAATGCCAGATGGAATGCCAGAAGATTTGCCAGATAATATGCCAGAAGATATGCCAGATAGAATGCCAGATGGAATGCCAGAAGATATGCCAGAACATATGCCAGAAGATATGCCAGAAGATATGCCAGAACATCTGCCAGAAGATATGCGAGAACATCTGCCAGAAGATATGCCAGGTAGAATGCCAGAAGATATGCCAGATAGAATGCCAGATCGAATTCCAGAAAATATGTCAGATAGAATGCCAGAAGATTTGCCAGTAACAAAATGTATAAATGTCATGGTGGGGATCACACGAAGTAAAGTAATTTGTGTTTTTTTTCTTTTGTGCGTTTTTCTTTTGTGTGTGTGTGTCTGCGTTTTTTTTGCAAATAAGACAACACCTGAAACAAAAACATACAAAAACGCATATGTATATTCTCCTCTATATTATCGCAAACCCAAAAACGCGTATGTGCTTTGAGGTTTTTAAACCCCCAAGAGAATATAAGTATGTGTTTTTGCCACAAGCACTCATGTCTAGAAAAAACAAACAAGGTTGTCCGCAACTTTTTATCTCTCGAGCAGGAGTTTTTGATATCCTGCTACGGTGCGGCAATGCTAGCAATGCTGGCCGATGCCACTTCTTCGTGTCCAAAAGCAATGAACTCTTCATATACATGTTACATGACCAAGTATGTGCTGACAAATCGAAGCGCAGCTTTGCACACATTTCAACTTACAAATCAAAAGAAAATGATCAAGTGGTCAAATCTTCTGGCACCGTGTCTGCCAAGCTGGTGGAAACAAATTCATATGCATGTGCAATGTTTGCCGTGGGCGCACCCAATTAGATTTTTTTCCTTGCGCCGGGCTTGCCAAGCCGAAAAAATAATAAAATCGCGAGATTTGAAATTACTCCTCAGAAAACACGTTTAAAACCATGATGTTTCCTCCGACTTAAAAAATGCAAAGCTAAACATTTTTTTTTAAAAAAAAACAAAATTTATAACTATATAAACTTATTTGCTCGCTAACTTCAACATAACTTCAGTATAACTTCAACATAACTTCAACATAACTTCCTTAATTCAATTTATAACCTCCATAACTTCAACATAATTTTGGGGTGGCTCCTTGTATGAATACTATAGAATACTATAGATATGATGCGTGGACCTCCAAATCACCTAAACTCATCCACGTACTGTGAGGGATGACATGTTTTATCCTGATGACAGTAAAATGGATGAAGTATCCTTTGCAAATCATGCGCATCATGATAGTCAGTGAACGTTGGCTTGCTATCTCTTCAAAAATCCAGTGAAATCCATTCGGCTGGAATATTGAGTGCGTTCCAGTAGAAACTATCTCAATGGTATAGCCTATTTTTCGACAGGAAACTCACCCATAATCAATGGGGAATGTTCGAGATAAAACAGGAATGATTGAGTTTGTTTCTAGGACAATGTCGGAAACTATTTTGATGTTCTTTCAAAAAGTCAGAATTTTCCCTGAAATTTCCCATCAAATTTCGAGTTTTCCTGGCGATGTTCCCATCAAAATCAAGTTGTTTTTCCATGGTTTTTTTCCCATCGGACAAAAACCCAACCGTTGTTCGCCGCGAGGAACTGCTCCGGACGCCTTTGCGTGCAGCGCTGGTGCTGGACGAACAGGGCCACATGGGCGGCCTGGCCACGGCAGCGGAAGCTGGGCGGCCAGCTGGGTGATCCTGGAGTTACTATATAGTTAAATAGTAGGTGATTCTACCTGGATCTAGCGGGTTGATTTGTGATTATACTACCTGGTTTTTTGGTGATGAAAATTTCAGGAATATTTACAGTCTACTACCTAGATTGTCACACAACTAGTAAATGGTGAGTGTTTGTGGGGGTAAACCACTGAGAAATGGGATTATCTACTGCCGTGGGATGATCCTCCAAGTATGGCAATGAAGATTCCCTACTCGTAGCAAATTGGATAGAAATGGTTGGAAGTGAAACAATCATTTCTTTCTGGTTGGGAATGGAATTGGGAATGCCATGATTTAAGTAACACGGGTAGCCAGCAAAGTTATACACATATTGTGTTGGGCCTCGGGCTACAGCCTCAACCCGAGGCCCAGGGAAGACGGATTTACCGATACGTCTTTCCCACCAACCACTTATTGCTCGATGTCTCGATGTGTTGGGATGAGGATTTTTGCAAGCAATTATTAATCCCTACCCCCTATTAATAAACGGGCCCCCCCCCTCCCCCCCCCCCTAATAATAAAATTCGAAATTTTGGGAACGCATTCTTTTTATTAGGGGGGTGTTTCAGAGTGGCGCTATCTGTTGTAATAAATTATGTTGCCTGATGACTGATTCTCTTTGAATTTGCAGGAGTTCTTATGATGAAGCTACCAAGATACCATATTATGTTTGGCCATGTTTGCCTCGCATTGGCATGATCTACGACTGCTTCGATTACTACCACGCTTGCTTCGACCATCACTACCCTCGCCATAGCAGCACAACGAATTATATATTTTTCTCTCGTTCGACGACAATGGCTACTACTCTTACAAAATCCTTACATGCCCCCAAACCTTCACATGCAAAGCCTGAAAGACTCTGACGATGATCACAACTGAAACTGTGATTTCACCACTGACACAATGCTGATTACACGACTACCATCCTCGTGACGATGATCACAACTGCCATGACGCCCCTTCGATGCAGCATTCTTCCCCTTCAAACCAATTTTGTCGTTTGTATTATCGGCCAAGGGACAAAGGCTAGTGTGGAAGGGGGGCAAAGAAGCCAGGAGTAAAGGAATGAAAGAAAATCCAGCAGCAGCACACGGACTTTTTCTTAAGGCATCAAAGCAAACCGGTCGGCCCCCCCCCGACCTTGTCTCATTCGAATAATTAGTGCATTTTCAGACTTGTTTCAGACCTGTTTCAGACTGTTTCAGACCCTTTTCTGGCCATGCACAACACTTGACACAATTGGCAGTAAAGAACCAAACAATTCTAAGAGTAGTAGTCGTAGTCGTAGTAGTAGTAGTAGTAGTAGTAGTCGTAGTAGTAGTAGTAGTAGTACTAGTAGTAGTAGTAGTAGTAGTAGTAGTGGTAGTGGTAGTGGTAGTGGTAGTGGTAGTAGTAGTGGTATTTGCAGTAGCTGTAATGTTTTCTGACCCCTTGAAGGCACTGCGGGCCCCCTGGAACATACTAGTACGCTATCACTTGCGGCCAAGGGGCAAAAGGTAGCATGGAAGGGGAAAAAGCAACAAGTCAGAAAAGGCATCTACAAGAGGCAAGAGGTCAAACAGACACTCATGGAAATTTGAAGACTGAAACTAAGACAATATTGGTCAAAGCTATTGCCAGCAAAGAACCAAACAATTCTACCAGCAGTAGTAGTAGTACTAGTAGTAGTAGTAGTAGTAGTAGTAGTAGTAGTAGTAGTAGTAATAACAGTACAAGTAGCATTCGCAGTAATGTTTTCTGACCCCTGGACGGCATTGCGGGCCCCCTGGAGCATACGACTACGCTGTCATTTGCGGCCAAGGGGCAAAAGGTAGCATGGAAGGGGAAAAAGCAACAAGTCAGAAAGGCATCTACAAGAGGCAAGAGGCCAAACAGACAGACATGGAAATTTGAAGACTGAAACTAAGACAATATTGGTCAAAGCTATTGCCAGCAAAGAACCAAACAATTCTACCAGCAGTAGTAGTAGTACTAGTAGTAGTACTAGTAGTAGTAGTAGTAGTAGTAGTAGTAGTAGTAATAACAGTACAAGTAGCATTCGCAGTAATGTTTTCTGACCCCTGGACGGCATTGCGGGCCCCCTGGAGCATACGACTACGCTGTCATTTGCGGCCAAGGGGCAAAAGGTAGCATGGAAGGGGAAAAAGCAACAAGTCAGAAAGGCATCTACAAGAGGCAAGAGGTCAAACAGACAGACATGGAAATTTGAAGACAGAAACTAGGACAATATTGGTAAAAGCTAGACCCGGGCTGAGATCCTGGAGATGTGGATGTTTCAGACCTGTTTCAGACTGTTTCAGACCCTTTTCTGGCCATGCACAACACTTGACACAATTGGCAGTAAAGAACCAAACAATTCTAAGAGTAGTAGTCGTAGTCGTAGTCGTACGAAGACTGTACGCTTAAAGTTATAAGACTTTACAGACTTAGCCTAGATATACAGAAGTTAAAGGATTTATGTTGGAAGTTAACATGACTTATCAAAAAGATAAAAGGAAGTTATGTTAACTTTAATAACTTATTTGTAAGTTTTGTCTTAACTTTTTATAACTTCTGCTAACTTTTTATAACTTCTGCTAACTTTTTATAACTTTTCATAACTTTTTGTAACTTTTTTGTATATTTTTATACTTTTGAAAGTCTTTGCCTTGGTTTCCGACCACGTGGATTTTATAACTGTCTTGTTTCTGAAAGAACTTTCAGATATGATATCCTTTTTTTGAATCGACGAAGTGATGTGAAAGCGTTTCAGTTATGTATGTTTCAGGAATCATGACACCTGAGGCGATATGTTTTTTTTTAGTGATATCTCTGTCTGTATTTTTGGATCGGGAAACAAGTTGAGTTACAACTGTTCCCGTTCGGGATCCGTTATTTTGTTAAAACGATCCCGTTCGGGACTTGGTTGTTTCAACCTCTCCCTTTCGGGATCTGGTAACTATTTTTATCTCCAGGTAACTATTTTTATCTGAACTATAGCCATTTTTTATCTGAACTATAGCAATTTTTTATCTGAACTATAGCCATTTTTATCTGAACTATAGCTATTTTTGTCTGAACTCTAGCTATTTTTGTCTGAACTATAGCTAGTTTTGTCTGAACTCTAGCTATTTTTGTCTGAACTATAGCTAGTTTTGTCTGAACTATAGCGACTTTTATTCTGAACTATAGCTAGTTTTGTCTGAACTATAGCGACTTTTATTCTGAACTATAGCTAGTTTTGTCTGAACTATAGCCATTTTTTTCTGAAAGACCAATATTTTTGTCTGAACTATAGCTATTTTTGTTTGAACTATAGCCATTTTTTTTCTGAACTATAGCTATTTTTGTTTGAACTATAGCCATTTTTTTTTCTGAACTATAGCCATTTTTATCTGAACTATTGCTATTTTTGTCTGAACTATAGCTATTTTTCTTTGAACTATAGCTATTTTTGTCTGAACTATAGCTGAACTATAGCTGAACTATAGCTGAACTATAGCTGAACTATAGCGGAACTATAGTGGAACTATAGCGGAACTATAGCGGAACTATAGTGGAACTATAGCGGAACTATAGCGGAACTATAGCTGAACTATAGCGGAACTATAGCGGAACTATAGTGGAACTATAGCGGAACTATAGCGGAACTATAGCGGAACTATAGCGGAACTATAGCGGAACTATAGCGGAACTATAGCGGAACTATAGCGGAACTATAGCGGAACTATAACTATAGCGGAACTATCGCGGAACTATAGTGGAACTATAGCGGAACTATGCGGAACTATAGCGGAACTATGAACTATAGCTGAACTATAGCTGAACTATAGCTGAACTATAGCTGAACTATAGCTGAACTATAGCTGAACTATAGCTGAACTATAGCTGAACTATAGCTGAACTATAGCTGAACTATAGCTGAACTATAGCTGAACTATAGCTGAACTATAGCTGAACTATAGCTGAACTATAGCTGAACTATAGCTGAACTATAGCTGAACTATAGCTGAACTATAGCTGAACTATAGCTGAACTATAGCTGAACTATAGCTGAACTATAGCTGAACTATAGCTGAACTATAGCTGAACTATAGCTGAACTATAGCTGCACTATAGCTGAACTATAGCTATCTAGGGACATTTATAGGGGAAAGGTTGAAAATCGAAGAATTAATCCTTTTCAGAAACTGTCTTCTCAGACCGGATCCTTCTCAGGAATTGTCATTTCAGACTCTTTCCTTTGCAGGAACTGTCTTCTCAGACCGGATCCTTCTCAGGAACTGTCTTCTCAGACCGGATCCTTCTCAGGAACTGTCATTCCAGACTATTTCCCTTTCAGGAACTATCACTTCAGACTCTGTCCTTTTCAGGAAGTATCTTTGCAGACCATATCCCTTGCAGGAAGTACTTGTATATGATACTTAGTTTAATCTAAAATGATCAAACCAAAGAACTCAGGCAGCACACGCAATATGCCTTTTTTTCACCCTGTATAAATGTTGACAAGCTTTGTCACAAACTTAATGAAACTCTCGAAAAATGTAAAATAAAGAAACATTTTCATTGCCCTCTTGTAAACATATTTTAAACTTTATATAACTTTATATAACTTTATACTAACTTTTTGTAACTTTTTATAACTTTTTATAACTTTATAACTTTTGTTAACTTTTTATAACTTTGTTCACTTTCAGATAACTTACGATATTTTCCTAGATTACTTTTATGTTAAGTCTGTTACATAGTTTTTATAAAAGAAAACTGCAGTTAAGATACTTACGATCTAAGTTCATTTAAACCATTTTATCATTTTACCCTAAACATTTTACAACTTCATCGACCGGCTAGAAGCTAAACTTACAAATGTAACTTATTCAAATGTTATGACATTCCTACTTGCAAGCAAGGTTATAGCCATGTATCGAAGGGTTTATACATGTTGTAACGCGTCTAATTCTGTCAACTCCCATTAACTTCCAGCGTTACAGTCTCGTAGTCGTATCGTAGTCGTAGTAGTAAGTAGTAGTAAGTAAGTAGTAGTAAGTAGTTAGTAGTAAGTAGTTAGTAGTTAGTAGTAAGTAGTAGTAAGTAGTAGTAAGTAGTAGTAAGTAGTAGTAAGTAGTAGTAGTAGTAGTAGTAGTAGTAGTAGTAGTAGTAGTAGTAGTAGTAGTAGTAGTAGTAGTAGTAGTAGTAGTAGTAGTAGTAGTAGTAGTAGTATCAGTAGTAGTAGTAGTAGTAGTACTAGTAGTAGTAGTAGTAGCAGTAGCACGAGCAGTCGCAGCAGCACTAGCAGTAGCAGTAGCGAAAGGAGTGGTAGTAGGGGTAGTAGCAGTCGTAGTGGCAGTAGCAGTAATGTTTTTTGACCCCTTGAGGGCATTGCGGGCCCGCTTATTCAACAGTTCAAGCGGGTACTGCCATAGCTTCGTTGGACTGGATAGGCAAATTGGCTCCAGTAGCCCTGCTTTAGATGAAAATGGAACCATTTGTGATAACGGTGTGCACACACACACACACGGATGGAGTCCTCGAAAAGTTCGATTGCTGCTAGGATGCCCCCTATAAGCTCGACGAGGCGTGTTAATTTATTCTCGGCTCATGTAGTATTGGTTTTCAATAGGCGGAATGGAAAAACAATTAAAAAAAAATGGTCCCGAGCGCCGGCATTCTTTTTATTAGGGGGACCTTTATTAATAGGGGGTCGAGATTAGTGGTACATGATGTATTGGAGGATAAGGAAGATCTCTTGACGGAATATGAAAACCTGCAGTAGTTCCCCCGACGTGGAATTGTATTTTTGGGTGTCACAGATTTATGTAACAGTATACAATAGTATTATACACAACAGTAATCAACAGTATCCACTTCTACTTCCAGTGGTAATTTTTGCTACGTGGCCAACCTTTTGCTCAGGATGCACTTTGGGCGTTTAACCAACAGATGAGTCAGACCCTGGACGCTTGGGAGAGGCTTTCTTCCAGGCGTCGGTGATATGGGGTGATGGACCCAAGGGGACCCATTGATTGGCTCATGTTTCTGCAAACTTAGTGTCAAGGTACCGATAGTATCTCATAGTTTAGTGTCCATTGGAGTCTAATTTCCAATTCTCCAATGGCTACTCCCTTGGAGTCATCCAATTTCCGGAGCATCCATTTTCAACCGAAACTGTTACCTTCAAGGCACGCAAAACTTCATCATGCCTTCGCGTTTGATGCTGTTCCCTGCTTATTTGGAGGCAAAATATGCGTCCGAAGAGTCTATGTGGGAGTATTGCTACCCCACATAGATCTGATAGACAAGTGGTGCTGGTGATAGAGTTGGATCAACTTCAGAGCTGCAAACCAAAACACATTGGGGTCGTCGAGAACCTTCGATGATCTACTGCGGTAGTACTTGGAGGATCATCCTATTTAGCAGTGGTGAGTGGGGTTATAAGCCACTTATAAATATAGGATAAGCCACTTTGGGGACTTTGTACACAGGGTTGACAAAAGCATGCAATTTCCTATTCATAAGAGATTTGAAGTTCAAGGTGGCCACGCTTTTGACGATCAGCTGATCCATGGAACGAATTGTCGCGTCGGAGGCCCGGTCGTTTGGCCCCACAGATTTGCACCAGCGCTGCTCTCTCCAGCGCCTGTAGTGCTTTCGAACGAGAAGGCTCCAATGATGGCCACAGTCACAGCAATGGTCCTTGAAGTTAGGATGGATGATTCACAAGCGCGGGATATTTTCTAACATAGTATATCGCATTCAGAAGGGAGTTTTATTTGTATATATAAATCATCATCCACTTACTAAAGCCATCACTACTTTGGGGGTGCAGTTCCAGTTTTACCACAGTTTTGGGGTGTGTGTCTCATCATATGGAAGTTATCACTAATATCCCCCAAATAAGGTCAGGGATACATTTCTCACAAGTATGCAGGTGTATTTTTCAAAATGATGTATATACCCCAAAAATTAGGGAGATCGATGATTCACCAGTGAATTGGGTTTTGCCACCACCAGGAGCCCGCGCTCCCTTGTTGGCCACAGAGCCTGACACTGGCGACGTGGTTGGCTTGGTGGCGCCCAGTCACATGGCAGCTTGGCCTGGCATGGGCAGCATGGCTATTTCTATGGGAAAATCATCGGAAAATCATGGGGAACATCCAGTATGGTCCTGGAGGTTTGAAGGGAAACTCCCAGAACTGGAGGTGATCTTTGGGAAAATCATTGAAGTCTTGGTTTTTTTCCAGCCATGAAGCTGATTACCAGAGGGTATGGTCCTATCATTTGTGCTGGTTCCCTGTTACGTTTGGCTGATGCGGACCTCACTGGCCGACCTTACCTTGGAGAAGGATCCTAAAACTGCCACGCATTTCGGATATGTTTTTTGTTTAAATTCTTTGCAGAGTTCAAACGAGGTGAATTTTGTTTGAACTAAATCGTCATTTCCACATCTGGGAGAATGGTAAAACACGCAATCAAGATCCTAGTATGGTGATTTAATTTCGTTGAACGATACGCTGCAAACACTGCCCTTCACTGAGGTTTATCCAAACATCCCACGATGTTTCCCTTGTGTTGCCATTTGTTGTCGAAGGCTATTTATGGATGCTCTAGACAGCCGTTTTTCATGTGGTAAATCCAATATATAAACTGGTAAATCCAGTTTATTGTTGGTAAATTTCCCATAGGTATCACATAAATTGCATATACAATCAAAAACAAAAGAACAATCTCCCAGCCCGTTACATTCCCATGGGACAGTTATCAAAATGCTTGATAATCAGATAATGTAGATTCCCATCAAATACATTCCCATGGTTCTAATAACATAACATACATTTTCTATAATCATGATTTAACTCCATAGTATATTCCCATGAGTATTTCAAATCATTGCCGAAAATTTCAGCAGATTCAGGTGGAAGCCGGACGACGCCGTCCCAGTCGTCACCCCGTGCCCAGCTGTGCCCCCGGGCTGAAACAGGCGGACTGAGCTGGGAAAATGCTGCTATTTTGGAAAAACTCATGTTTTGTTGGCATGTGTTTCTTTTGGAAAACATGTGATATGTGTTAGGGAGCTGACAACATTTCCTGGAATGTTGACTGATATGTGTTGGATTTTGTGGGCAAGTGATGAGGCAATGTGATTGAGTTTTACGATCATTAGCTACAACATGCGTATGCTATCCATCAACCGATTCTGGTCGGTCTGGAAGAGAGACGGTGTGAGGTCAGGATTGAACGGAGAGGGAAACCTCCAACAAAACTGGTAGGGCAGTTCCCTTCCATGCTGAGCTTGCGATGCTCTGTGAAGTCTGAGAGTCTGCGAACAATGAATACAAAGATACAATGAACTGGGACTACGATTTTATATGATTTTATGATTTTGAGCAGCTTATTAAGACATTGTTTGGTCATGTTTTTCGCAACAGATGTTCATTGCAGCACATGCGTTGGCAGGAAAGGATCAGGAAAGTGAAAGAAGAGCGACCAATCAAAGAAGAAAACACAGGTGTGCGCTGATTCATGGATTGTGCATGGAGGACCAAACAAAAATCATGTGCCCCATGCAACATCCATGCCACCTTTAGCACAATTCGTGCCATGAACAACGCGTCGTGTCTCAGGGGTCGCCGTGAAATTGGAAGAAGAAGTAAAATGTGAAGAGCCTGCGCCTAAAAAGCGGGCAGTGATGACAAAGTGCCTTGGCATGCTGAAGTTAGCTGTGCTTATTTTGCCAGACTATGTGCAACGCTACAAGACTGGTCGCGTTGTAGACACTTCAACCTATAGGTTACCACATCGATTCGTATCGTCAATGGCGGTTTTTGGTGGTGCCTCAACTATACATTTCCAGCAGGCCTTCAACAGCTTGATCCACACCCCCAATACTTGGCCACGTTAATCCCCTTCCATATTTGGCTGGTTGAATTGTGTGAGTTGTATCTCCACTTTTGATGGGTCAACATCCCAAGAGGGCTGATGCCGGCCAAGTTTGGGGTTCTAATATTCCCCAGCAAGACTAATTACTAACCATTCGCCTGAGAAGCACTCTTGGTTGTGTATTTGGTCGGTTCTATTATTCTATTGATCACATGTATTTGCGTTTATTATATCTCTAGGTTTCATTTATTTTACATATATATATAGTTATATCTGAATATATATATATATATATATGTATATATATAATATTATATAATATACAATATTTGATTTATATATATATATATACAACCATGGTATATTCCTGTTCCTCATTGCTTGCACCAAACTTCCCATTTTCCCAGGCCCAAGCTGGAAATTAAGATGGAGGACTCCGCAGTGCCCGCACCCCCGCCCCCGAGCCTCGCAGAGATCGTCGCGCGCCGCGACACCGCGCTCTGCGACATCGAGATGTCGCTGACGGACGCCGTGGACGCCCTGGTCTGCAGCGGCCGCACCGCGGCCGTGCCTTGGATTCCTGGTGATACTGGGGATAGTGATACTGGGATATAGTGAAGAATAGTTATTGATTATCACTATAATGGGATTATATGGAATTATGATAATGGTTATACTGCAATATCTATGGAATATCTACGGAATATCTACGGAATATCTATGGAATATCTGTGGAATATCTACGGAATATCTATGGAATATCTATGGAATGATGATTGATGTGGGTAAAACAATGCCATAAACCACCCATTTTCCTGGGAATGGTTTATACATACGGCCTATGAACATGCTGATTTTGGGGGACGGTTTATGGCCTTGTTTTAGCCAGCCAAATCTTGGCTGCTGTGCCGTTGCTGAAGCCCACTTAAAGCTGTTTGCTATGTCAACCAGCCACCGGTGACTGAGGTAGTCTTGGACAATGATCAGGTGCAAGGAGCGTATAAAAACGTGTTCTGTCAGGGCTGTGATCAGGTCAGGGGTAGCTGTTTGAACCCATAAAGGGCTGGTCATTGGAATCTACCACCATCCATTGGGGTCCAATTTGAAAGTCTGTATGCGAAAGCTCTGCTGAGCAAGGTTGAGTGGAGTGTTTTCTTCTGTGGATCAAACAGTAATGGGGATATGAAAGCATTCTCGGGCAGCCCACCAGTCCACTGCCGCTTTAGGAGTCCTGACCGAGAACGATGTCCTCGCAGCGCTTGTGGAGGGTACACCATGGGAGTGCAAAATCATGGAATGGCTCAGGGGTGGCTATGACCCTTGGCTACGATTTCACGGGGTCAAAAGACTGTCCCGGGAGAGATTTTTTTCCGCGTTGAGTGTTGAAGTAATGGAACAAGTTGAAATTTTGAGAGTAACTTTGACCAAAACCCAGAAGTTTTTGATTTGGTCAAAGTTGTCCTCGCCAAATCTCATAGATTTCACCCAACTGGGCCCCCCCTTGAGGCACGTCTCCCCGGCTTTCTGGTGCCTGCACTGACCTTGTCCTCCAGCGCCAGTGTGGTGGATGCTGCGGCAGAGATGACGACACTGGTGGAGGTGCTGCTGAAGTCCTGGGTGGTTTTCATGTTTTTTCATGGTCAATTGGAGTAATTGATGGGATATTTACTTGTGATACAACCAGACATTTAGATGAAGTGAGTATATCATGGCGACTTTAAACGTTTCTTTTTCGGTGACTTTAGTGGTTCTAAGTGGTCTTTCTCATTAGTTTGAAAGGGATGTGAACCTGTGATGTCCTATATTCCTATGGTTTCATACAGTTTGGGAACAATATTATGTCAAAACATGTCAAAACAATTTGGGTTTGCACTGAGACATATGGGGAGTCAACCGGCCATTGGATTCGTTTGCACTGGATTAATGATGCCCACGAAGGGGTTGCGAGGTTTTAAGCCATAGGGTGGAAAAATGGGGCATCCCCTATCTTGCATTGCTTGGTTTGTTTCTACCTACATTAAACTGTGCCATTTGGGATGTAAATCTTCAACAATCTATGATTTCACTTCCCGCATGTATTGCACGAAATGTGAAGATCCTCAAACAGCTCGGGATTTGTGGTAGATTGCAGTAGGTTTCGAGCATCAAGATGGTGATGTTCTTCGGGAGGTTCACCGGCGTAGCGCCAGGATGGAATGGGCTTTGCCTGCCATCATCTTTTGGTCTATTCCAAGGCGCGGCACCGACGACTGCGATGATCGCTCTCATCGCACAAACGAGTCGTCATGCATAAAGCACGATGAAAGTTACATGTTACCCTCGAGTATTCCTACCCGGCAATGGGAAATCACCAGTTTTTTCGCAGTAAAATACAGTAAAATCATTTATGAACGGGATTTTCCTTTGCCAGGTGTGATTGCCGGAGGGTAAAAGCATCCCATCCCATAACACAGCTTGTCCTGCCACGTTTGTTTGAAAGGCGCAAGCCCAACCGCACAGCATCTTGGTGTAACAAGTCTCGTGAGAATAGAAACCTTCACTCTGCTACCGTAATCTGATACAATCTGATGAGGGCAGAGCCCTTAGGTTCTCCGGGACCCACATGCCTTGAATGAAGTCCTTCATTATGAAATGTGTACTTTGTATGGGTTTTTCCAATGTTGTTGTGTTGTCCCTGAAGCAAAGATCTTCAGTAAGTCTTCTTGTATCGCGCCGACATTTTTCAAAAATGTCTGTTTCAGAGATCAGAGAATGTGTCTTCATCATTGTTTTTGTAACCGATCACAAAGCAGAAACATTGGAAGGGTTGTCGATTTTTGTCGATTGCATTCTTGCCACCAAGTTCACAAGTGTCCAAAGTACTGTGGTCACCATTCAAAATGAACAATCGTTCAAAACTAACTGCAAATACCAATGAAATTGGTGGACTGCACACCGAATACACCATTGATAGTCAGTTTTTGTTTCTTCTTCTAGCGTCTTCACATGTTCGACAGTGGTTCTTGAAAACGTCTACAGCGTAGCATTAAGAGAGTCATGAAGCGTACAAGAAAACGTCTGCAGCGTAGCATCAAGAGCGTCATAAAGCGTACAAGAAAACTTCTACAGCGTAGCATCAAGAGCGTCATGAAGGGTACAAGAAGACTTCTACAGCGTAGCATCAAGAGAGTCATGAAGCGTACAAGAAAACGTCTACAGCGTAGCATCAAGAGCGTCATAAAGCGTACAAGAAAACTTCTACAGCGTAGCATCAAGAGCGTCATGAAGGGTACAAGAAGACTTCTACAGCGTAGCATCAAGAGAGTCATGAAGCGTACAAGAAAACGTCTACAGCGTAGCATCAAGAGCGCCATGAAGCGTACAAGAAGACTTCTACAGCGTAGCATCAAGAGCGTCATGAAGCGTACAAGAAGACTTCTACAGCGTAGCATTAAAAGAGTCATGAAGCGTACAAGAAAACGTCTACAGAGTAGAATCAAGAGCGTCATAAAGAGTACAAGAAAACTTCTACAGCGTAGCATCAAGAGCGTCATGAAGAGTACAAGAAGACTTCTACAGCATAGCATCAAGAGCGTCATGAAGGGTACAAGAAGACTTCTACAGCATAGCATCAAGAGCGTGTTAACGAGTAGCCATAAAAAGGGCCCCCCGCCCAAACCCCCCCGACCGCCCGAAAGCACAGCCACGATGTCAACGCGACCTGGACAACGATAAGCACTCGGAGAACCCCAGGGCTGACGGGTCTGATGATGATTATAGTTACATCAATGATGAAGTTATGTCACATTCGCACTTTCTGGTGCTGCCAAACGATGTTTCAGGAGTTAGGATTTTCGCTGTTGGTAACAAGGTGCTTGCTGCAACCCACTCCCAAGTCACAGTTGTCGATGTTTTCTCTGCAGATGCTATGCTTCCCTAAGGAATACTTTCGGCACTGGACATTGCTAGAGGCATGGTGGAGATTGTGCTGACAGAGGCTGGACCCGTTGGTGTTTTCAGACCACTCATCATCATCATTCTATCATATTATTCAATATGGTCAATATGCATTTCTATTCATTCAGAATTTTAATGAATGTTGCATGTTTTTTTGCAGATGTTTCTATGTTCTACACGTTTTTTATTTCTCCAGAAATGCCCCAGACGGACCAACGTCCCCCAGACATCTTCGGACATCGGACGCCCAGGCGGAAGACGAAGGTCTCGAGTGCCAAGCCGCCAAGGAGGCGGCGATGCTCACGGTGGAGCAGGTGATGAAGGAGCGCGAGACCGTGTCACCTGGTGGCCCAGTGGTGGCCCAGTGGTGCCCAGTGGTGGCCAGGGGATAGATGAAACATGATTTTATTATGATATAACTGAAATATAGTAGATTATAGTAGTAATCATAACATGTATTTATATATAACTATATAGTTGATATCTAAATCTATATAACCATATTAATCACTGTCACTAACAATCGACTACTGTATTTAGAGCTGGGGTGTCAAATTTCAGGTCATGATATCTTTGCTTGCTGGGGTTAATTTAATGTTGAGAACCTGAGGATGCCCGCAACATTGAGAATTGATTGGTTACTGAAATGATATTGGAGAGATAAGATTGGAATATGATGGCAATTAATACATGACACATGTTTTTGACTGATGACCAGTTGGTCATTGAAGCTGTTTGGTCAGTTGCGTTCGGCCTTTGAGATGGCCGCAATAGGTCCACAATGGATGACACCGTGGTTTTGGTGGGGGATGAAGATGGCTGTTATTTGGGGGTTTAACCTCTGAGCTTTTCACATATTTTCACATGTTAAGGCAGATGTCCACCGTGATTTCCAGAGATGTTCCCACGGCGGGTTGTTCAACACTTGTTTAAGATTTAAGCGCCACTTTTGGTGGTGAAATAGTCGATTGCTAGCAGTTTTGGCTGCGTGATTCCAAAGCTGCAATCCTTCCATACAAGCGGGGAGTTGAACAGATAACATTAAGCAGCTATTTTGCACTCACGGCCTTGCATGGTCCAAGTACTGCTTGGAAGATGATGAATAATGTGATCACAATCTTCAAAAGAGTTGATTCGACCTTACCATATACATCATATAAATTTTATATAATCATATACCATATGCCATATATTATTACCATATAATATGTCATTACAATTGGTGAAATAGCTGTTTGACTTGGACAATCCCAAAATTGACTCATTTCAGACGGGTGAAATCGGGCATTTTCATCGGAGCATAAGGTCCACCTGCAGACTGGGCGATTCCTTGCACAAGGCATTTGAAGAAATGTTCCATGGCTGTGGTGGGAACATGGGGGAAGCTTTCAAATATATTCTGTGTATAATATATATATATATATATGTAAATTATACACCAAAATATTAGAATATTAAATATCACATAATCGGTTGTACAGCTCCACTGGATGTTCTCTTTCACTTCGAAGTCCACGGCAATGCAACAGTTCAAACAACTTATTCCAAAGTCACACTTAGTTTTCGCAAGATACTGTAGTTGCGAAAGACGAACGAACACATGATACGCCCCAGACATGAACAAACCATGTTGGTTTTCTAGTTATAATCAGTCTTGAGACAAACTCAGTGAACATGTCATTTTCTCTGGATTTCATTGCAAAATCCAAGCTGATCCCCAAGATGCTACTTTGTGCGATTTTAACGCTAGCCATTTTAAGCTGTGTCATGCTACTATAGTATGAAGTTCCTTCAGCTTGACCCACTGAATTGACGCAACTTCTATCGCCCAGGCATTCATCAAAGCAGAATTGTGTCCTCATCGTGGGAGGAGACGAAGAATTTGATGACGGAGCATCTTGGAGCCGTTTGAAACGTCACAGTCAGTCTTGTTGATCCTGAGAGTTTAAGGAAACCCCTTTGTTCAATGGTCAAGTCCGTGATGTCATGCAAGTGATGCCTCAAACTGATGTCAATCCATGTCAATCCCAAATTCAGAACCAACCAGGGTCTGTTGAACTGAAGGGGGTACCATTTTAGCATGGCAATGATCACTTTTTGGGGGATCATCCAATGATTTGGGCACTAAGGACTGCAAGATCGAGATCGCTGCTTGGTGAAAGTAAGTGGGGTATACCCATGGACCATTCGAGCCAAAGGACTTATAATTTTGCAAAATATGTAATCTTTCATAACACATCATCCTATCCTATCATTCAACTATCCAATTTGGGGCTAGATAAGTTTGAGCCATGCGCAAATCTTTGAAAGGCATTCCATGTTTGTGATAGACATGGACTCCAGAGAATGTGATTGCTGGTCCGAATTCACGCAAGAGGCTCGATAGGGCTCATATTGTCGATGTTCATAGTGCCCAATTTTGCCGTGCATTTACCCCATAGGATCCATGTATGCCATATATGGTAACATTTACCATCAATATACCCCAAATGTTAGCATATATACCATACATGGATCCTATGGTCACAGGTGTTTGAAGCTTTGGTTTGTCAATGCTCATAAATGCGCCTGCAAAAAGCCCCCTTGAGGACGACCTCACACCAGAGGAGCAGCAGTGGCAGAAGGTGCGGCAAGGGCACAGATCAATGGCAATGAAATAGAAATCGAATCACAATCAATTCCTATCATTGACCATTTGTTCATAGGATTATGTGATATTATGTGGATATAGGATTGAATTTCCAATGTGATATGAGAAACCCAATCAGATGACCTAGAAAAAGTCCAACACGGATTTATATCATGTACTCGTACAGTACAGGCCATCATTGCAGGGTTTACAGATTCACAGCTTCGAGCAAATCTACGAGAGTATGCATGCACGTATTGTGTGTGTGTGTGTACAACATGTAGATATAGACCCAGACAGAAGATATTTCCACATAGATCATATATGATTTTATCATATATATATTATATATAGTATAGTATAATATATATTTATAATGTAATTAAAATGTAATATAATGTAGTATATGTAATACAAAACATTACCACTCCCTGGCTGCCGCTCCCTGGCTGCGCCCTTGCTGAAACCAGGACCACGGCCGCGTCTATGGCGTGATCACCGCAGCCGATGCCGTCCGGGCCTTCTCCGAGCATCTGCGAGGCGGGCGGTGCAGTTGAGGTTACAACATGTTACAAATGGATATAAATGGTTATAACATGAAATTTATATTTGGATATCTTACAAAATATATTATATAGATTACATGGATTTATATGGATTATATAGATTATAGACCATATGTTACAACATGTTGTGGATTTAAAAATGGATCCGAGGTTAGTTATGGTTATCTTAGAAAATATGGATCTCATATAGATACAAAGGGATCTAACATGATATTTATATGGTTATACCCCCCAAAAAGTATCCACAAATTGGGAATAAGTTGGGATATAACCCCTGTAGATATGGTTGGGAAAGTCCCCCCACATGAAGGCTTTAAGTGGAAACTCATCGAACTGAATGGGTAGTTTTCGCGTGTGACCATATTTGATTACTGGAGGGTAATTATATGACATGGAGCCGCCCAATAAATGGATAGATTGATTTATATATATATATATCCGGATAACCATCTTGCAGACTCACTGTTTGGGGTTCTGTAGGAATTGGCTGTAACGTAAAAATTACAGAGGCCATATTTGATAGACAACAACTTGGTGTCAATGGTAGATCTTCCTGAAAACAATCCATTCATTGGTGTGTAGTAATTTGTCGGGGAATCAACCGCAATTTCTTAAGGTTTACATACGACTTCTAGATGTTTTAATACGTTTACTGTAAATCCATAGTTTTGCGAAGCAAAGTGGGGATAAAACTGATGTAACATTACATCACTTGGAAGCAATACACAACGGTCACGACCAGTTCATGCAACAAAGAACGATGATGAGTATGGGAATCATCAAAACTGCAATGCCTTAAATCCAGTCTGGGATCATAATCATTTCTTGAATAATTCTCACTCTATAATCTCTATAATACCTATACAGTCTTTATATCCGGTATATCCAGCAGTAATACAGTTCTTATATCCTGTCTGGGATTAAAAACGATGATAACCCTATGGGAATCCTCCCAAGTTCAATTTCTAATCAATTCAAATCAGTTCTTTATTATAATCCCCATGATATTGATATCCTTAGCCAGCGCGTAGGCAACACCAGCACCGTAGCTGGCTGGCTGAGAGCTTTGGCCAAGGAGCCGAACAGGGGGTCTGCTGTCGATGCTTGGTGCGGTGTGCCCACGGTTTTGAAGCAAAAAAAACAGATTTTACCAGGGAAAATGGTGATGTTACTTGGGATAATGTGTACTTTACGAGGGAATTTGGAGATTTCAGGAGAATTTTCCTGGGATTTAATGGGAAGACCGTTTGGGAAACACCGTAAATAATGGGATTTAAGCCCCAAATCATAGTGATACGATGGGAATACTAGGGGGTTAGTGGTATAGATTGGGTTATGGTGATGATATCACTCAATGGATTATACCATAGATTCCACCCAAAACACTGAAACTTACGAAACAGCTCTCCACCACCAAGAAATAGCCTATATACAGTAGCTTCGAAGTCATCAAATCTCCAAGAAATGACAACAACAACACCATTAGCATCCATTAGCTAAGTGATGAAATCAACAAAATTCTTCAACAAGACTATATATATAATATAAAATATCTATATAATACAATATGATATTATATGATACTATATAATATCTATATAATACTTCCAAAAAGGTGTAGCCTTCACCTTTTCCCCCTCCACCTCCGCCAGGAGCGCCCTCCGGTGGGCTGCGGCAGCCGCTCGGTGCGCTCCGACGTGCTGCTCTCGGAGGCGGCCGACATCATGGCGGAGGCGGAGGTCCATCACCTGCTGGCGCCCTTGGCCGATGGATTTGGGGATGTGCCCTGGGGCTTTTATTGTGGATGTGCCCAGTAAAAGGTTGTGAATTTGTTGAACACAGGAGTTCGGCGGATTTGGGGTTGGTTTCTTTGGGTGTTTCTTGCGGCTTTGATTTTGATTTTTACTTTAAAAAAAATGGTTCAAAGACCGTCGCTTTTCTGGGGGTGAATAATTTGACATGCTACATGCATATATCCATGCATGGGGTTATATTCTATTCTGTCTGCTGGTTTCACCTGCGTGTTATCTTCATATACTTTTTGGATCTTTTTGGGATAGGGATCCCAAGTATCGAGATAATTTCGCAAGGAGGTAGTGAGTGAGGGCGGGACATTAGCGCTGACACACGTGTCACAAGCACGCGATGAAGGACGGACCAAACTGACACGGGACACAGAAGGACCAATACAGAATAGACTCTGATCATTGGAATAAGAGTTGCTGAAGGTTTGGAACATTGGCGTATTCCATGGTCATTAATCTGGCTTAGACAACAGATTTTGCTCATCATAGGTCATCGAAGAAATGCTTTCAAGCAGGTGGAACGATATCATTCCGATAAAGCATCACACCATATTCAAAACATCAGAAAAAAATAAGAACATCAGCATCAAATTAAACCATGTTAGGTGCGAGATGCCTCGACGGGCGACAACGGTGAAGTGGTCGGAGTCATTTCAGCCTTGGACATTGTGCAGCTTGGCCATGGTCTTTTTTCTTTTGGAGAATTCATAGGGTTCAATAGGGGACAATCTAGCGGATTTTAGACGGGATTTATGGGGGATTTATTGGGGGATTTATGCAAGCCAGATATATAGATTTATCAATGGACAAGCCTATAGTTTAACGAACACAGATGTGGAAAAGCCCATGGGTTTTCCTAGATTGATCACTGGAGATTTGACCCTGATGTTGCAGAGTTTGCAACACCCAAAAATAAGGAGGTTTCCCATGGGGATACCCCAAAAATGGATAGTTTATGGGTACCACCATTTTAGGAACCCTCCATATGTGAAGTTTGAACGAAGGGGAATGAATGTCTTGTTCTTGAAGCTTTGAGATCGCTGCGTATACCGTTCAAATTTGCTGGAGTATGAAGCATTCAGGATTTGAATGGACAACAATGAAGCCAATTCAAGTCCGCAACCCTTCAAGTCCTATCGGATCTTTTCATCGCTGAGGTGTGCCTTGGGTGCTTCATACAGATTCGACCTGACCTCACCTCGATTTGTATAGGGGCCAGCGGTTCGCGAAGCTGCCGAAGCTGCCGAAGCTTGGGTGCTGCATCGGCACAGCGATTACTTTAACAAGGTGGACCATGGAGCAAACACAGGTAGCTGGAGGAATTTACAGTATGTCAAATGTGTGTAGGACCACGAGTGGGCCTCTAGGGTTGGCCATGATCACCGGACCTTGCAGGAAGATATGAAAGATGATTGCCAGAACTCCGTTGATATGGTTCCAATTGAAGTGCGGCACTCGCCTTCTTGTCAGGCGTGTTTTCGTATGTACGCCCTGACCATACGGTTGACAGACCTGTTGAATCTATGGCGGCAACCTCAAACAGCTTGAGATTGCGCCGTCCGTTTGTCCCGT